ATATAAGCATCTTTATCATGTTTTTATTTTTATTATTATCATTATTATTTTTCCATGATGTCTGTCCACATGGAATTTGTAAGCACTCTTGTGCATTCTTATACCACCAAAAGGGTGGGTAAATCGAATCAAGTTGTCTATCTGTCCATCCATCTGTTTGTCTGTCTGTAGACACATCTTGTCTAGACAACTCCAATGAAACTACAGTAATATTCGGGACAATGTGTAGATGTGCATGCACCATTTTCCCCTGGAAATATTGATTGCCATGGCATCTGGTCAATATAGACAGGTTTTGCATGTGGGTCAACTTCTAAACCTGTGGACCAATTTCAACAAAACTTCGCAGGAATATTAGGGAACATGTGCACATGCCGCTGTGTTTCAGAGGATGTTTTTTTGCAAAAGGTCACCATGGGGAGATAACTAAGGCTGTGGGTGATGGGGGTATTAGTTATCATTTGGATTACAGTTTCAGTTATCCCTGGGCAATGTGGAGAGGATATAGTAATGATTTTGAGGATTGAATGTAGAGGTCACAGTACTTGCATAAGTACTATATGATTACCTTGTAAACGCATTGAGACCAAGACAGTTAGTATACCTTAATCAAATTTGGAACATGTATCCCTTGTGAGGAGAAGTCGGTTTCTTTAGAAATTCAGGGTCAGATATCAAAGATCAAGGTCACAGTCAAAAAACGGATAGTTGCATGGGGGTGTTTTTCCATTGTATTACCCTCGTTTTTCTATCAAATTTCACAACCTAAAAGATATTCACATCTTGTAAATTTCAAGATTCAAGGTCACTGTAAGGATGTTAAAAAAAAAATGATAATACAAGAGGAATAAAATATCTTGTGACAAGTTTTAGAGAACAAAGAATATATAAACATGAAAAATTGGAACAAAGTCAATATCTACTTGAAGATTCCCAGAAAAAGTACAAGGAGAATAAGACAAGGTTTTCTGGAAGAATAGGCATCTTCTATTTTAAGTTATGGTGACAAGTCATGTTTGTTTTAGAAAATTGGCACTCTTATGCAGTCATTTACAAACAATCTGGAAAATGAAGCTGTCCAATATTTGTATGTAGCATGTTATTTGCATGATGGTCTAACTAATGGTCTTAAACCAATAGGATACACAGTCTTTAAAGTGATAATATGGTGTCCATGATCAACATTCCCTACAATGTATCCAAAGAAATGGACAACTTCCCTATCATTGCATCTTGGAGCCTACTTGGGACATGTATTACATAAGTAATACTACTATGCTTGTTATTTCTGATATCTGCTGGTCATTTTTTATGGGCTGCAATGATTTACTGATTGCATATAGTTGGTTTCAGTATATAGCAAGCTAATAACAAAGAATTTATCTTTTAATGGTCTTAGCATACCAGTACTTTCAGTACTTTGATTATAGTTGGTTCCTATACCTCATCAAGTTAGTACTTGGTAGTGTTCACTCACATCTTTGAACAATGACTGCTAACGATGCGCACGCATCTCATGTGATCCCGATGCACCTCCAGGAGTGAAGACAGAATTACAATCAAATTTCAACTTACAGGTAAGTCTCATTTAATTCTTAAATTAAATATTTACTTTTGTGTTTTTTTCTAAAATTTTTATAGAATGAAGGTGGTAGACACTGTTGTTGGACCGTCATGCCGCTTGTCATTCATTCAAATAGTGGTACAATTCGAATGATCTGATATATGAACATTACAAAGTCTTTAATCATGGGCAAGAGCACATCCCCTACTACATTTCAACATTTCGATCAGTTTTGTTTTCCTCAGTTGTCTCAAAGGTTTCAAAATTTAGGTTCTTACCACCACTGACGAGTCTTAAAAGGACGAACCAGCTGTGTGATGCAGCTTTACTGATGAGTCCTAGAAGGACGAACCAGCTGTGTGATGAAGCTTTACTGATGAGTCCTAGAAGGACGAACCAGCCGTGTGATGAAGCTTTACTGATGAGCCCTAACATGACGAACCAGCTGTAAGATGCAGCTTTACTGATGAGTCCTAGAAGGACGAACCAGCCGTGTGATGAAGCTTTACTGATGAGCCCTAACATGACGAACCAGCTGTATGATGCAGCTTTACTGATGTGTCCTAGAAGGACGAACCAGCTGTGTGATGAAGCTTTACTAACGAGCCATAGAAGGACGAACCAGCTGTGTGATTATCTGGTAATAGGTATTGCTGCGCATGAGGAAACCGAAAGTAATTACTCTCTTGACCATGTCATGAAGTTTGACTCCTCAAAGAAACAAGTAATCGCTTTTGCACTTGAGCTAAACCATTGCCTAAGATATCTGATTTATTTGAATAAAAAAAGGGAAACAAAAAATCAACAAATTAAAAAAGAAAAAAAAACCCCGACAGATGATAATGTCATGGCCACAACTACATGTTGTTTTGATAATGCTGATGTCAGAGTTACGAAAGATTGTAAAACGAAAGAGAGATCACCAGAAAACATAAAAAAAACAGTGCAATTGCGTTACATTTCCGTATCAAGTGTTACACTGTTACATCATTTAAAACGATGTATGAATATCGACAGAAATGTGTAGAAAGAGAAAAGCGATATTTTAGGTCGAGAAAGAAAAAAAAGATGATGTGGTTAGAATGTTCATATCTGTATTTACCAGAACGAAATATTCAAGCGAAATTTCCATTAAAAACCAACAAAACAAACCAAATCGCTATGTAAGTCAAACCAGCTCTCATCGTCATTCAATGCACCTATCAGATCACAACATGACACCTATCATACCTATGGGGTCGACATTTGAAAAATATTTGCAAGCATTGTCCAAAATTTAGAAAACTCGTTGTTCATTGCCTCGTTAAAGAACGCCAATTCGCATTTTTTCGTAAGACAGTGTACCTGAAATTTAAAATTTCAAAATCGGTTATAAATAAGAAATTAATTGGAAAAGGCTGGAAGCATCAATGGCTTGAAAAATTGGTAGTTTCACTCAAAGCATCGACAAATTTCACTTTGATATTTCAATAGAGATATTCACGGCAACCAATTTGCTTAAGTGATAACACCGCGACTGTGACTTTCGCGACAAAAATAACGTTTAGTGGTTGCGTTGTTGTTGATTGTGCTTGGAAATGCGACATAACTTACTTGGATGGATCAAGATTTACATGACGGGTGTCGTTGATGAAGCAGACATCGTTCACTCTTGCGGAACACTTGATCTGATTCTCCTTGTATTTTTCAGAAGTCTCATCAGGTCAGTTTTCGATTTTTGAAGTTTAAATCCATCATATTTGACAGTCATTTTTTTAAGTGGTTTAAATCTCTCTTAGTCTTTGTTTTTGTTATGCAGGAATAACACATTAATTTCATGTCACTCTACGTCTCTAATGCATACCCATTGAAAGCAATGTTTCTTCATTCCTCTTAGGGAAATGCATTATCGGCAGAGATCATTCTAAAGAGGACCCAGGGAAAGAACATCGTCAGCAGAGATCATTCTAAAGGGGACCATGGGGAAAGTACGTCGTCAGCAGAGATCATTCTAAAGGGGACCATGGGGAAAGTACGTCGTCAGCAGAGATCATTCTAAAGGGGACCATGGGGAAAGTACATCGTAAGCAGAGATCATTCTAAAGGGGACCATGGGGAAAGTACATCGTCAGCAGAGATCATTCTAAAGGGGACCATGGGGAAAGTACATCGTCAGCAGAGATCATTCTAAAGGGGACCATGGGGAAAGTACATCGTAAGCAGAGATCATTCTAAAGGGGATCATGGGGAAAGAACATCGTCAGCAGAGATCATTCTAAAGGGGACCATGGGGAAAGTACATCGTAAGCAGAGATCATTCTAAAGGGGACCATGGGGAAAGTACATCGTAAGCAGAGATCATTCTAAAGGGGACCATGGGGAAAGTACATCGTCAGCAGAGATCATTCTAAAGGGGACCATGGGGAAAGTACATCGTCAGCAGAGATCATTCTAAAGGGGATCATGGGGAAAGAACATCGTCAGCAGAGATCATTCTAAAGGGGATCATGGGGAAAGAACATCGTCAGCAGAGATCATTCTAAAGGGGATCATGGGGAAAGAACATCGTCAGCAGAGATCATTCTAAAGGGGATCATGGGGAAAGTACATCGTCAGCAGAGATCATTCTAAAGGGGGCCATGGGGAAAGTACGTCGTCAGCAGAGATCATTCTAAAGGGGACCATGGGGAAAGTACATCGTAAGCAGAGATCATTCTAAAGGGGACCATGGGGAAAGTACATCGTAAGCAGAGATCATTCTAAAGGGGACCATGGGGAAAGTACATCGTCAGCAGAGATCATGCTAAAGAGAGTCACCGGCCTGAATAGGTAAACTGCACATTGCCTTAGTATGACCAGTCAATTCATAAACTAATTTTAATGATCCTTGTGTTACTGTGGTTAATGTTTTGCTCCGGACAGGAAATAACCGACGGAGAGACGGACTGAGATATTTCACTTGATTTAAATGACAAATTATCTTGAATCTAATTTATTGTAACTTTTTCTATGTATATTTGATCTGTGGGTCTTAATGATCAATGGTATTACTAGAAAGATCTATATACAGCAGCAGTAGGAACAGTTATTAATTGAAACAGTTCAGAATATTTTAGCAATAAGAGCGGAAAACACTCCTCGTTTCTGTTCTCAACATTCTCACAAAATTTGCTTTACTTCTCTACCAATTTTCAGTTAAATGACGCCACTGGAACTTGAGAAGTTTTTTAAAGATGGCAGCCATGGACAATATCAGATTTTGGACTGACCACAAAAATAACAATTGTTAGGACCATCTCCGGAGCGTTATAGTTAAGTTTCAGCTTATCCCACAGGTGGAACTTGAGAAGTTTGAAATAAAAGATAAATATGCACGGCACATGACAGAGGAAATATGATGGCTGAAGTTTATCATGACCCTTCTGGTCACGTGATATATTAAAAACAAACATTTTTTTTTGTTTTTACTTTTACTAATTCCGACAATACATGATACCATTTCTTTTTCCTCTCTCACGCATACAATTGACTTAAAGAGTTTTCATTTTATACAACAATGAATAAATGTGCACCATATTATAGCTCAAAATGATGATAATCTCATATTACACACATTTAATGATGCACATAGAAAAATAAAGCTATATCAATATAGTAATGTCAAGCTGGAGAGTTATCATTGTAATATTCTTAACCTGCAAATATAAAACACAAGTAAATTCATTATCTGATTTTCTTGAAGTTTCACAATCACTTACTAGGTATATGATTTGTTTCATTCTGTTATTGTTCCTGGAGAGTATGGAATAGCTGTACTACCATTTCAATCTAATTTTGGTGATCAGTTAATCAATAAATTAGCTTAACACAGAAGATGACATAAGAACTCTATAATGTTATGTACCAACAGTAGTATTTATCATTAACATGACTACATCTACCATTTGAGAGCAACACTAAGATAACATTTTGGCTCAAATAAATACTTTTACATAATATATAGTTAAATAATAGATAAAACAACATACCCTGCTTTCATGAATACAAATGACACTTGAATGTTATATTTTCATATTCAAAGTCTGCCAGTATGAAATCACCAGTGATGGGTTACACCCTCCTTACATACTCTTGAAGGAAACATCCCTCCCACCTTCAACTACTCCAAATTCTGGAGTGAAAAAGACAAAGTCTTGTGACTTTAATCTTTCTTTTTTAACTGTACAGAACTTGCCAATGTCAATTACATACAAGTTGTATATAAATTACATCAATATGCATGTGAATTATATATAATTTGTACTTATCCTATATAACAAGTCCAAACTGTAAAGATATCTAACAACAAGGAACAAAGTTCAACTGAACATTTACCAAAGTCTGTAACTAGCTCACACCAAATCTGGGGCAACGTTAAATATTCTACATATGGAGCAACATTCATGCACCCTTTCCTGAACTTCCATAAGTCATTATCACCATTACACCATAAAAGCAGATCTTTCCAAAATATTTCAGCACGCAACCATCAGTACTTTGTGTAACTAAGAAGTGGGTTATTTTAACATTAATGTGTAGGATTTAAAACATAACAATTTTCCATAACTCAAAGAGGCATGTTTTTCCTTCATTGGAAAGTAATACTGATACTGCCTTAAACTTAATTACGAAATTCCATTGAGTTGAAAGAAATGATGAAATTGACATATGTATTGGTAAGAAATGATCAAGATCATTCATTTCTCTCACATGTTGTTAAACCTTATCAGCATTATTAGTAATATTGTGGAGTAGTGCTGATATAAACCAGTATTTCATAAATACAGTAATGATTTTGAGTAGCAACATCAAATCAACATCTATTTAACCTTGGATAGCCTTTACCTAAAAAACAAACGATCCCAGAGGGATCTTGGTGCCCACCATTGTTTGATCTTTATATGCTCTTTGAAAGATGGATCTTTTCCTTTCTTTTCTCTTCTCTGTTTTTGCTCTTAATGATAGGACATTTGAACATTTTTTTGCAGAAATTCTGATGATAATCTTTACCTGCCAAATCCAAAATAGCCGCCTGGGAAGCCTACATATGCAATTTGAGAAAGATCCATCCAGCACTTCTCAAGAAATAGCGATAACAAAAATTGTTTGCAGACGGACAGACAACAGACCATGGACGCAGAGTGATTTGAATAGCCCACCAGCTGATGATGTTAGGCTAAAACGGGGGAAAGAAGGAAAATGATATATAAGATGTAATAACACAAGGGAGGTAATTTTCAAAATGTATCATAATTAATTATAAATAATAGGGGTAAATAACTAGAAAACCTAGTGATTTCCATTTCAGTCATAATCACAAAATAATTAACTGCATGTCTTCACTGGCTGATATCATTAAAATTTACTTGATATAAGTAAAAATAAATATACTTAGTCAAACTAGTTTAACTTTAGAATATCAAGATAATATTCCTGGCAATTAGTTGATATTTTAATCCAGGTGTTAAGAAAGACTTTATATATGTAGCTCTTATGAACACAAGTGGATGGATGGCATGCCCCACACATGACCACATGATACAACCATAAATCATGATGTAACTGTTTATTGTGTTTACTTTCCAAAGCCCTGACTTTAAATCAGAACAAAACTTCTTAATTCAACAAAATAAACAAGGCATGATGACAAGCAAATTTGAAAATATGACAAATTTGCATACTACATTTCATTAGAAATCTATCATTTTGGACACATTTTAAAAATGATAATTTAATGCATTATGTTCATGTAGTATTGTGCTCACATCACAGATGTTATCTGTCTTATTTTATTTTACAATTTCAAATAAATCTATCTTATACATTGTAATTGTAATAAATATACTTTTATGCTGGCCTGCACATACAGAGTAAGCAGAAGAAAAAAAAGTAAAAAAGTAACAGTTCATTTAACACTTACAGTGCAGATTCTATGTCACTAGATGTTATCATTGTTCTTAGAAAACAGTATGCAAAAAAATATAATAAAAATATTAGATGTCTGTTCAGCATAGAAAACACTAAAGATAAAAATATCCAACAGACATACATGTTTGTACATCCTACATACAACCTTCATGTTTATATACATCAGTTACATTTTATGCTAGGAAAAATGTGTGCTTTCTTTTTTCATTGAACACATTTATTTCACCTGAAACCCCAATCAATTAGATTTTCATCCTTTTCAAGACTCTGAAAACATCATTTCAGTAGGGTAGCAGTACTGTAACATTGACAATCATGTACAATCAATTACTGGACATACTTTTCCAAAATGGCACTTCATACAGCACTCAATTTACTCACATCCTTTTGTTACCATTTCTGTAGTGCAAAATATTTTCATCCTTACAATCTCACAAAAATAGTCTCCATTTATCCTCAACAGCAAATATTGAAATAGTAATTAGTTATCATTAATTTTATTCTTTGTATCCTTAACTGTTGAGCAGTTTTACAGATAACGTAATTTAGGATGATGGATAATAATGATGCATTGTTATTAAAAGTTTGGGATCATTGTTGCAGCGGGATAACTGATGAGGGAAGTACACTGTTTAATGGTCACTGACAAAAGTAGTACAATGTTAGGGATCACTGACGATGTAGGACAATGGTTACAGTTATACAGGTAACCAGGTAAAATACACGCAATTACATGTGATATTGTCTTCATATCCATACAGCACACATATACAATGTCAAGGTCTATGTCGGTGACCAGAAATTTCTGGCAGTCGTCTGGTCTCTCTTTCATATCACAACATGGTGTATATATAAAGCATGGCATCGTATGATCCACATGTGTGATATCATGTAATGAACATGCAAATACAATGCATGTGATCTACATGACTTGGTCCATTGGAATAGCTGGGGCTGTTCAGAAAGGGGCTACATCAGGCAGTATGTTCATAATATCACACAACACGAGTTAGTCTTTCGGGCCTGTGAAAATAGATACAAAACATTTTGAATGAATCTACATTTCAAGTTTTTTTATATACTTACTTGTAAATCAGAGGCAACATCCACTATATAGTATATACATCTATAACCATATGCAAATAACTAATTGATCCTTCAAACAAAATATGTATTTCTTAAAGACATAATCATGATTGATTCTTTATACCCGAGTACAGAACATAAATTATCAACAAATGTACAAAACAAAATTCACAAAGCACCAAGTAAAGTAACACATACAGAAAGGACCAAACATTCTTTATTATTTGGTAGACTTCAGTTCTTGCAATTTGTCACAGAATTCATTATATTGATAATACAATGATTTGTATGTTACTGGTTAGGCAACACACATCAGCAGGGGAGATAACTAGTTAACAAAGTACTTACAGTTTTATAGAAGGCTTTTGACTGGACACTTAGATCTGCTGATCTGTCCACTAATGCATCTAATTTCTCATCACGCTCCAACAGTGCTTCTATCGTATTATGCTGTTAAATATATTGAAACTATCAACCAATCTATATTATATACATAATTGTTGTTATTTGTACCTAGAATAGTTAGAAATATAACTTGTGAATGAATGGGAAAAAAGTAAGTTAAAGAACCAAATAGAAATTCTTATAATGGCAAAGACGGAATTCCTAAAAGGAACAAGTCACAAAAATATAGCCTACCTTTTACGATATATAGATATATATATATTATTCATCATTGATAAAAGAACACTACCATGTAACTATGTTTCTATTTGAAAGAAATTAATTCTTGGTGATACAACTGAACTCCACCTTCAGAAAAAATTTAAAAGGTGTCAGTTTGTGTACTTACCAGAATAATTTTTGTCTCGTCTAACTCATGTTGTATTTTTGTCATGGCATCAGCTTGTTTTGGATCCTTAAAAATCAAATTAAAAACCTCATAACTTCATGATTCCTGATTTATCAAAGTTATTATAGACACAGAACAGTTATTAGTTTACAATTAAATCAAACACACCAAATAAAAAACACACAATTTCGCTATTTAGAAGCCAAATACTGGTCAGTTTTCATCAATGACACCAATCAAAATACTGAAGTTCAATTCCTGGAGGAAAATGAAATAATTTGGTGAAAAGATCTGAAATAAACTGCAGAATTAAATTTTCAAGTTACATATACTAGTATGTGAAAGATAAAGAATTTTTTAATCAAAACCACACTTTGGTGGAGATATGTTCATGGACTTCATACAAATTCATTTTTTAATCAATACCAATAACTAATTTATCTGTTTATACTTTCTTAACATTAACATTGCTTAATTATCTTTATACTGGTCTTCTGTTCATAGCATAGTTCAGCTCTAGGAAAATATAACTTTTGCTTGTAATTTTTGCTTTTTACATATATCTACTGCATATTAGTACATGTATTGTATCATATAACTTTGACATTTTAACAGAGGTCATTATTTATTTCAATGTCTCTGCTAGGATTTGTACCTGGGACCTTTGGCTTATTAGTCTAATGCTCAACTAACAGAGCTAATTAGTCGAGAGGTTTATTGATTTAGAGGTGTATTACAGGTAGTACATATAATGTACCAGGGTTTCAATGTCATTATTTGCTTACTCTTACCTGATATTTTGTTAAATGCTCGCTCAGGTAAGGTAGATTTAGCCTGAAAACAAAACAATGTAGATCAGGATGTTTTTTTAAATTACTGCAAAGATTTGTATTCAAAAACATTAAAAAGCTTAGAAAGTAGAATTTCATAATTCTTGTTTGTGTTTTGTTCATACTCACCCTGAATTTGGTTTACTCCACTCAGATTTATTTGGTACTTGACTTTCAAAAGTGTCCAATACCTGTGAAAAGATATGTAAATCTTCATTACTGGTTCCATACTTTCAATATCTGGTCAAACGAAGAATTTACCTATATTTGGTCAATTGTTCTTTTACCTATAGTACTTTTACTTCACTTCCATTTTGACCCATTTTGGAATGCTCTCCAAGGCGTTTTTATAGCTTATGTCTTACAAAGCAGAGTGTGGTCTACCATATAAGAGATGATGATATCATCATTTCCATATCCTACTTCATACATACCATATACTACAGTAATCCCATACCTATTAGTACACTCATACTTCCACATATATTAACAGCGATAGTATACTACAGTAACTGAACACCTACAAAAACCAATAGCACAAGATATCTACAGGGTAATGCCATCTGATATTGTATCAAAATTCAGAACAGTGTCTGAGGTACTTTCTTTTGGACTTCAAAAAAGAATACCAAATATATTTTTTTTACATGGTAGCAAATCATACTCAGATATCAGGATGAATAGTCAATACAGTTCTCCTACCTTATTGAGAAGAGTGTGGGCTACTCTCTTAGGATACTCGTGGTCACCGATCACCACTCCTGCAAGTCCATCTGACCGTACATACACATGACAAATGTAATCTGGAAATGAAGTTGCAGAAAACATGTATTATAAGCTCTTAAGATGATTGATGAAAATCATTTTTGAAACTCACAATCTCAATTAAATGGGAGAGCTGGCTGAGAAAAATCAAGACATACCCAGTATATATCATCTGAAAACAGGAGAGAACTATACGATATTGCCTGAAACTGATTACAAGGACTGTTTCTGCTAACCCAAATGGCAATATAAGTCAATTGTGAAAGTAAATCAAACCTGACAATTTTCAAGGATGGATATTCAAAGTCAAAATTCCTTCTCTATTTAGGTTTTTCAAAACTATTTAAAAGAGCAATTAAAGCTTTCCTGACCAACCTACTCAGTACTTTTTTTACTAGGATGTTAAAGAAATGCATATAGATAATATCAATATGCAGATATACATACTATATTGTAAATGTCACATCCAGATAATAATTTGAACAAAGACTGATGTGCAACTATATGAACACATTTAATTAATTTCATAATGGTACAATTGTGTCTGAACAATGATAGACTAAACAAATGCTAATATCGAAAACTGACCAAGAATCAGTCATCTGGTACTCACATCAGTTTATTTCTAATATGAATCTTTCAAGGTGATGTTGGTATGTGAATAAGCAATGTTCTGACCTATGCTGATGTTGTGTACTTGGTGGGGTGTGAAGAATCAAAGTTTCACATCATAAATGTACTTTGTATGAAATCACATGACTTACCTTGTTCTTTCACTGATGCTCGGGTTGCAATCATAGTTCTTTCTGTGATAATTTTACTGGTAAAATCCATGAACTCTTTAACACTATAAACAAGCACATTCCATTAGGCATGCATATTGAATACCCTTTGTCATTCTGTAGCTGGAATTTATTTTCTCTATGTATAATGGACAAAAGTCAGAATGTAGATCAAAATAAAACAACATTTTAACACATACCCTGGTAAGTGCTTTACATGCTTTTCTAAACAAATAACTAGACAAACTGTAGTATAGTTATATTGATGTTGCATACATTCCTAAAAAATGTCTTATTGCAAGATTACATAACTGGTAGACATTTTAATAATAATTGCAATTTTGTAACTTGTAACTTCTCAAGGTCAAGTATTAGGAATAGAATAAAGATGTTAAAATGAAAAAAACTGACAGTCTAATGTTTGTGTTATACACAGAAACACAAAATTGAAAAGGGAAAAAAAATCATAATACATGTTAAGTCAAGGCATCATTTAGTTTGATTAAATCATGATGTAGTTTGTTAATCATGATGTAATTTGTAAATCATGGTGTAGTTTGTAAATCATGGTGTAATTTGTAAATCTTGGTGTATTTTGATTGTTTCATACCTGGCTCTTTGAAAATACCCAAAAGAGCTAAGTTCATGACTAGCACTGAGTGAATTAACTCGTCCTTCTCCATTTTTATACAACACTTGTATACAATACAGTTTCATATCTGGACGTCTGTAGAAGTTGCTTCTCCTTTTTTTCAATGAAGTCCCTGTACAACAACACAAATGTAAAAGAATTCATTCTGGAACAAGGCAGTCAGTAAAAGTGTTTTTATTTTTTTATTTTTCTTTTCCTTTGTTAAATATCTATAATAATACAATTTGAATTAAGACCATTAAAGATATATCATGAAATTGGTCTTTATTCAATGTTAAAGGATGTTGGGGTCAATTTCAATAGCAACATCATCAGTAACAAGTATTGTCACTGTCTGTGATATAAAAAGCAATGCAGCAACCCCTGAAACATGTAAAATGATGGATAATTAAAATGTTAATAACAAACATTTGATTTCAACACTTAAAAGATTCAATTAGGCAGCTGTCAAACGGCGAATGAAAACGAAAATAGGGAAAAAATAGACTACAATATGTGAAAGACCTTACACAGGATTCATGGTTTATTTTACGAAATCTAGTCGAAAAACGCATGGGTTCTTACCTTCAGTCTTCACAAATATTATTCTAGGTGGTTGTTCTTGATAGGATAAAAATGTTTTTGTCAATTTAACCGTGGTATCACAATAAACAAACAGTCACTCACGTTATTTTAGCACTGACTCGACAGGAAGTGACGAGTTAAAAATGACAGCGACAGGAAGTAGTAATATTGTGTTATCTCCCTTCATTAAAGGGAACGCTACACTATTCATGCGGAACGCATCGAACGCTTTTGTATTAGCCTGTGAAACTTGTGCCTGATACATTAACTGTGATACAAATATATTAATCCGTTGGCAGAGTAAGCAAATTAAAAAGTAGCATTAATGCGTGCAATACGTAAAAACAAATAAAGATTACAAATAGCGTTTTAACGCGGATCTAGACATTTTTTCACGAGGAGTTAACATTTTAAAATCGAAAACTTTCCGTGTGGTTTTTAATGTGTTGTTCAAACGATACTTTTTGCGAAAAAAAACCCTTAATCTATTTTTAGCAAATTAACGTTCACAAAATGTTGGAAATATAATTAAAAATCAAGGACTTGATTAACTCTAGCACGCCCAACTTACATATAAAGTCTGATTCTTATTCGTGTCTTTCATCTAGATGTTGGCGAAATGATAAAAAAAGGATAGCACACAGGAAATTATAAATCTATGGTCATATTATGTCATCCAGTATTACTGAAAATTAATTTTGACGAAAGTAGTGTAATAGTTAGGCAGTTTGGAATTTCTTGGCTGGGCGATGTGGTACCGTACATTGTGAGTTCGCGGCTCGGACAGGGTAATGTGATTGAAGCCTGATACTTTAACTTATTCAAAACGCGACATTTCATTTACCAGTCGCGTAGTTAGCTCCATCCAATGCTGCCAACAGGACAGATTTTCACTTTGTTGTAAATGAATAGACATATGACGTCGAGCAATACATTTTCTGCGTGCAGTGAAGTTGTTCAATATGAGATGACACCGCCATTTCCAAATTATGCTAAATGCTGAACTTTATTTCAGTTAGGAAAACTCACTTTATTTTACCGTATTTGTAAAGTGTGGAAAAATGCAAGGTTGTTCCATCACTTAACAAACTAAGAAAAATACTCATTACATTTGTAAAACGAAATCACACAGCGATGCCGATAATAAATTGCTTTTGGCCGAGACATAAGTTTTATAGTTACAGATTGTAATATCATCCAACCGTGAGAAGTCAAAATCAAGCGGAGAAAACAGAACAGATCCGATATGATCGATTTCAGAAGGCATGCCTACGTCATAAAAGATAAAGACAAATTAAAGCCATTTTATCTAAGACCAAGATCCTCGTCACCGCAGAGGGTAGGGCTCTTATCTCCATATCGTCTGATCTGGCCATCATTGTCTTCTCTGTGAACATGCGCAACATTCTGAGTTTACTTTTCTCAAACTGCTCTTCCACTGCTTCGTATTCGACAAGACATTTAAAATTCTTTAATGTAATTCTAAACTCATCTACTGAACCACGGACTGATTCTCCATTTAGGAAGAAGAGACTTTGTTGTAATCGGTAATACTTCCAAATGCTTATGTCACGTTCCGCAGCCCCGTTTGCCTGAAACGTAGTGTGCCGTGGGACTTGGGTCATCTTTATCTCCGCATTCAAGTTTTGTTACGTTTTCTCGTGGTCTGTCACGGTATCCGTGACGTATCTTGAGGGAGCGGGGCTGATGTTTTCCAGAAGACTCAACGGGCGCACTATGGCTAGGCCCGCGGTCTTCCACGGATGACAGTACGTTCTACCCAGGCTCATCACGTTCTGCTGGGACCCCTCACGTTTCTCACGTTCTGATCAAGGTCTGATACGGTTTTCACGTTCTCTCAAGGCTTTCCACGGATGACACGTGGACGCCGGGCAACTCTGGAGCACGTTTGTACCCCACGGCATAAAACGAGGCCTCTCAAGCAATAGCAACTATTGTATCCTGAGACTTCAACGAGAGAGCATGGATGCTCAAGACGAAGATTTTGTATTTGCATGTTTGCTGGGGGCATATATAATGTATTTGCGTCAGCGCGCGTGCCGTGTTTGGCATCTTCACACCTTGATCTCGATACTGTGTGGCCGATTTCTCCGACACAAATAAAACTCCCCGGTTATTTATTATTATTATTTATTATTATTGTTATTATTATTATTAGGGGATTAACGTCCTCTATTATGTCCTTTAGGCCTTTCAGAGGACGAGAAAAGATAGGAGGGAATAGAAGGGGAGAAAGTATGTAGTGAGAGGAAGGGAAGGGGAAGATAGTAGAGAAGGGGGTGAGTCGCCTGTACCTAACCCTTAACCTAAGCACAATAACATAGAATTTTGTTGGCGACTCTGGTGGCCTAATGTGTCCCTAACCGACTTCGCGTCCGAGGGTTTTCTTCTGGTGCTTTACACCGTCCCGATTTTCATCCGGCGATGGAGATAGTTGTCGTCCGAGGGAGAAGGGGGGGATAGAGAGTATGTAAGGCGAGCTCGATTTAAACGGATCTACTAATATTTTTGTTTTAGGTCCGAAAAATTGTGCGACCTCTGAAACTATGGCGTTTAACTTAATGAGCTAAACGTATGGGACTTACGACTGCCGTTAGGCGCTGGCCTTGGGGAATTATTTAAATCAGAAAGGATTGGGGAACCTGTTTATTCGAGGTGCACTGATGTGAAATTTTGAATATATAATTCTATCCTACCGCATTTTAATTTCTATTTATTCATCAGGGTTATATACTCTATTCGTATCACTGCCCTGATGTACTATTATAGTATAATTTAGAGAAATAGTGCGCTAAATGCACTTAATAGAAAACTAACACACTGTGTGTGCGACCCTATTGGAACTAGTCGGTAAACTGTATAATTTAATATTACATAATTTGGATGGCCGTCCAGATTATTATCCTTGTCATTATCCCTACCTAAGTATCTAGGAACCCCTGGACCGGCTTGCAATAAGCCTTCTCTTTTTCAAATAGTCCAGGGGGTTCTTTTTCGTACTAGGGCGGACTAACCTTCACACGGGACACCACAGCTTTAAGTCCCATCCGACGGACTGTATGTTAGTAAAAAGTTATTAGTGCGCATGCAGGTGCATTTTTTTTTGGTCCTTTCTTCTTTCTTGTCTGTCTCTTTCTCCTGTTGAGTCTGATCTATCTGCACCAATGTCTTCATTCCTTTTGAATAAACCACTTTAATCTTTCACTGGTTATCTCATCCCGACGTTTTATACTATATATGTGCTATATGGTTATTTATTAGTAATGGTTGGACGGTATATACCTATAACTGACCTAATGTGCAGGGGGAGGGCTATTATTTTTAACATGCTGGATAAAAAATGGGGGGGGGGGAGGCGGGAGTGAAGCATGCTGGGATAAAAAAAAAGGGGGGGGGGAGGTGGTAGGGGACGGTTACCTGTAACTGTATGTAGGGTAATACTGTAGGGAGAGAAGAACTAATGCTTTTAGGTTATTCCTAACAGTCGTTAGACATGCACTCGTATATTGTATAACTATTTATTTGGGTATTTTATGGCTATTTTTGTTTTTGTGTGGGGGAGAGTTAATTCTTTTAGTTCTAGGAGGGTTGAGTGTTCGTTTTACCGGAACCGGAAGTGCCACAGGATCCGTGATTGAACGTGACGATACGGCTACCATACTCCTTAGCTTGCCGTGAAAACCGTGACAAAACGTAGCAAAACGGGACAGAATGCGCAACATCCCTGACAAACCGCGCACTAAATGCGGCAGAACGTAACACAACTTGAAAAGACCGTGATATGCCGTTGAATGCACAAGCTTCCCGTCCCACTACGGACCGCCTCTAAGTTCTGTTACGGCCTATCACGTGCTGTAACGTTTTGTTGCGTTCACCCGTTCACCCCGTTTTACTACGGCCTGTTTGGTTTCTCATTTCCGCCGTGACTGCCGTAGCAAATTTTTGACAGTTTAAAAAATCTGGCACGGCAACTACGGCCTGTCACGTTTGCCCATACCGTTCTCTCGCGTTGCCTCACATCCATCCCCTTTTGTCGAAAGAAGGGGTTATGCAACACAAAACTCGAGACTATATATACAGTTCTGATTTAGATAAGTTATCTGTAGGCAGGGTCTGGCCAGAGTTTCAACACTTGTGTTATTGTTATGAAACCTTCAAAAAATTGAGAACATCTACAGATCTGCAATACTTTCATCTACGTACATTGTATTTCAAAATGCAATTCATACGACAGTATTTTTGTCTCACTTATTATAATGTAAATCTTATACTTCCCCTAAGTTAAAATGTATTGTTAAGCGAACCAGACTTTGAACGGGAACTTGGCCAGTCAGCGATTATGTAGGTCGTGCACTACAATTTTCTCTATTCCAGTAACCTGATAGGGCGTTTTTGTTCAAGATCAGTTGTATGTGTGAATGATATTACGTAGGTTCAGACACCGCCATTTCCTACTTATAGCCTTTCCGGGTAGGAATATAAACTTTTCATTCACTACATCTTAAGCCTGACAGCGGTTGCAGAGTGAGAGAAAAATGTTACCGTGGCCTACGGTTTTGACGTTAGAAAAGATTGCCATGGACCTTCCGTCCGTTCTTGTTGTCCATTGTATTGGATATAGAAAAAACTATATAGAAATGCTTCAATTTTATATTTGACATATATACAAATGAAGCACCTATCAACTTATGCGAGGTTAAATAAATACATATATCATCATTAGCAAATCCGGACAACGTTTACGACAGGAAATACTGATTAGACGTGTGAGACACGGCTTCCGGCACCCTTTCTCCTGCTGTCGTCCTCCTCTCCAAAATTTCATATACATACAACCCGCATATTTAAACATGGTTATTATATATATTAAGAGGTGTATCCAAAGGGGTTCCGTACTAAAATATTCCGAAGTGTTTTGTTCATTCATTCCTATGTACAACTACTATAATTGCTCCATTTATTGTTAATTCATTCATAAGTCTTTAGAGTCTGATGACCGCTAAGGCTCAGGGGTCTCTTATTCATTATCTATTTAATCAGTCTTATATGAGAAAAAATAGTTTTTTTTTAAATGAAGCGCCGCTTACTCTCTTCCTGAACTGGTTGGATTCAATAATAAATATAGAATGGTTCCGAATGAGTGCGCGTAGAGAAGTACCGGAGTTTTTAAAGTTAACACGGAAGCTTGTACACTTACAAGGAAGTAATATACCTATACGTCCCGAGTGACAGTTTGAATGGTGGACCTGAAGACCAGCTGACGACTTCGAACATGAGTGGGACCCTTCCCGAATACTCAGGACTTGTCCGATGGACGATAAACGACGTGGGACAATGGCTGTCTTCGGTAATATCTATTTTAGAATCGTCTGCTTCCTGTAGGATGTGCCCGTCTGTCAGATGTTGGTTATCCCTTATTTGTTTACCTTAGCCTGTTCATTGTATAGATATATGGGACCACGACTGGGGATATTAGTAACTGGGTAAATAAATAGTGACTTATTTATCACCTTACTCCGATATGTGTCTTGTTAATAGATATAAAGATCACAGCTGACCATTGAAAGTTTTACAGGTAACAGGAAGCCAATGCAAGACACATAGTGGGCTCAGGTAACGTACTTACCCACCATATACCGGTCGCCCTTACAGTATATATTATGATATGTTCGCATGTATATTGTAGATGATTTTAAAACACAACAATATAATTTTTCAGTCATTTTCAGACAACACAGGGTATATTTGTATACACAGAAAATTAGTACATCTCTGTCATGTGTATCATATTGTATTTTTACAACAAAGTTGATATCACATATCAGTAATGTCAACCCATGTACTGGCCATCAGACTATTCACAACTTGAAGTGATAGCTTTTAAATACAGACCACTTTCAGTCCATTTCTTTATCACTGATAATGTACTCCAGTTTGACAAGTATTAGTGAATTGTTGAATATTAGTATTATCGTATATATATGAACAACACTGAAACCAGAAACATACCAGTCTCTCTTTACAACTCTTCAGTTGCACTCCACTCTTAGTTAATGCAGTGCTCATCTAGGTTTTATTGTTGGACCCAGTTCAATGGATTTATAACCCAAATTAAAAAAAACACCACCTGGACTCTTGAAACCTTCTCAATAATTTGAGACCCTAAGATTCCTTTTGAAAATAACCATGTCTACCCATCCTTTAATTAGTACTAGTTTGAGATGTTCTTCTAATCTTGTCCACACTGTAATTTTTGAACTGCTAGGGATATCTTGATAAAATTTGAAGTATATGCACATCACCTTCAGGTGGTGTGAAATGCATTGAAATACATGTAAGGTTACTTTGACCTTCACCTCAAGGTCAAGAGACTGGTAAACTGGTTGTCTCAGCTAGATTGATTGGTGTATTTTGGAGGCTGCTCATATTTAGTAGTAAGTAGAGTCACGAAAATTAAGATTATCGGCTTTAACAAGGAGAAGTGGGCCAACACATGTTTTTCCAATGTGAAATGTTTCTTAGTTCCTGGTTTACATTTTCTGATTTCTGAAAAAAACAGATGCATTGGATAACTAAAAATATAAAGTTTATTGACCTAATGTGCTTTTTATACTTTGTATCAAGTGATAACCACATGCAGTGTGATAATAGGTGTTTTCAAAACTGTGTTTGTTTCTTTTAGAACGCATTTCCCGAATTCTGTCGGAGCTTTCGAGAGGCAGGGATAAATGGTATGAAATTTGTGGTACGTATATCGTCACTTGATCAACTGAATATTTGAGGATTTCTAATACAACACTCCCAGTGACACTTGATTCAACTCACGTGAGGGACACTCAAGTGCAATTGGAGGGTGATTAAGGAAGAATTATGTACAGTGCGACTGGATTGTAGATTTGGTAATCATAAACTTCACTCATGAAAACAGAGTGGCACTTGAGTGAGTGACTGGGTGAGAAGATGACAACAACCTGAAAATATTCTAATGAACTTGAAAAAAAATCATTTGAGAGCCTTGGTGTAGCCTTCGTAACAACCCATGTTATTTTTTGAAGTGTGGCTCAAGGAAGGTGTACCCTTCATCAATCCTGTCTCAAGTTATCACCTTCACTCCAAGTGAAGTGTCAAATATTAATGACAATGTACTTTAAGGTGATTTTAGGGATTAACAAGGATTTACTCAATAAGTGTAAGCATGAGAGATGTTTTAATATACAGCCTTTTTGTTTTGGAATATGAACTTATATTGACATTTAATCATTACTTGTATGATCATTGGTGACAAACTATTGTGTCATATTGTGTCCTGCTATGAGTCTAGGGGTCCAGCATACAAGTCCAACAAAGTCAGGGATGAATATATCAAGGATTCAGGACTTTGGACAAGTGAGGAAGGGCCTAAAACATAGGATAGAAAAAGGGTATAGTGTCATACCAAGATTAAGTTTTCTTTGATTAGGTTTGTTTCAGAGTATTTTAAAATGGCAAATGTCCTGGTGCATTACTCATCTTCTCTTGTCCTAAATCATAATAGGGCCTACATTACTTTGCACCTTTAGGTTAGGGCTCTACTTTCCCTATATATTGCAGTCCTTGGGGATCATCAGTTTGTCAGCACTTTAGTTTCTGGAGATTATCAAAGAATTCAGAGGGCCAAAATTTCTGAAATTTTGCATCAAGGAATATACATGTACTATCAAATAATATATAGCTAAAGAGCTTTGAAAGTATGTGTATTAAAAGCTTAAAGAGTGCATGAGATCAAGTCCATGATAACTGTTGCTGAAAATGCAATCTAAACATGGGAATTGCTGTACATCATAAAAGGCCCTTACAGGAGGCCAAACATTCTGTACTTTCTCATTATACAGATGGGTTTAATTTCCTAAAAAAACTAGACTCATTTTTAGCTCACCTGGCCTGCAGGGTAAGCGAGCTTATGCCATGGTTTGGCTTCATTGGTCTGTCGGTCCGTTGATCTGGTAAAGGGGTAAAGAAATATAAAATTTTGACAAAATAAATTTTGTGAGCCTTAACCCAAGCTCAAGGTCACAGGATCAAATACAAAATGTTTTTCTATCATTATTGGGCATTATGCAATTTTTAAACAGCCAAGAGGCCTTTAGTGTTATGATTTTAGCCAGACATATAAATCTGCTGGGTGAACTGCAATTTAGTTGTCGAATATTGAACCTAGATAACTTTTTAAGGCTACATGTTTTAAAACTCCATTTCAAAACAGTAACATTGTTTGACATTGATCCATGGTGAAGGTCGTAGATTTTAAAACTATATATTAAATGAGCAACGCAATTCTCTAATTACACAATGCCATAATTTTGTGACAAACCTGTACAATGTGCATAATAGCTAAAATACTTATGAAAAAAAGATTTTAGATGTATTTTTTATATTTTAGGAATTGGATGAAACAGAGTTGAATCGAATGAGAACGCCAATGAATAAGAGAGGGTTTGTATATATTTTTTTAAACAATACTTACAAGATCAGGTAGCTAAGGAAGAAAGGATCATACTTTGAAGTACTTGCCATGGCTTCCACATTTAAATAGATCAAGATTGAACATGCAGTTTCCCCTCTCATATGGGTTACCAGTAATGTTGTGTTTTGTTGCTCATTATGGTAGTTTATTCAAATGAACGATACTTTGCTGACATTTATACATTCCACTGACATCACAGTGTTTACAGCATCCAAGGAGATTCAGCATTGACTGAGGATTGTTATATTTTGTGTTTTTATTTATCTTTATACAATGTATATAAAATCATGTTAGAAAAAAAAGCAACATTAAACTTGTGAAGCTGAGTTCACAGCAAGAGGTCAAATACAACGAAAAGAATTGAAGAGATGAGTCTTTTTTCTTGTAAAATCAGTACATTGTATATCTGAGTCTGCCTTAATTGAGTCCTGTCCTATTCACACTCAATGTTACAGCTTTACAACTCTTCAACAGGTTCATATTTATCCCATAGTATCACAACAATAGGAATTTCAACTGCATTGTCAAACTAATGTTGTCAAGGTTATGTAAATCATCAAATGTCTATAATCTATTGCAAATTTTAAAAAAAAATAGGATGTTGGTTCTAATATATGTAGATAGGCTATCCTGTATGTAAATCGTTGATCATCAATCGTTGAATTCTCTTCAGGTATAGCTTTGGTATTTCCTCTGACATTGTGTGATATCTGCCTTCGGCCTTGTGATGACTTTCTACATTTTAAACTTCTCAAATTCCACTGGTGATATTAAGCTGAAATTTATCTGAAAGTTCCCTGTGGTGGTCCTGACTAAATTTTGTTATTTTTCGAGTCAATTTGAAATCTAATATGGTTGCCATTGTAGCCATCTTGATAAAAACATTTGGAATTTTCTCTCAAGTTCCACTGGTGACATAGAGCTGAGAATTGGTGGGTTTTTTTTTTCAGTCAGATGACCACTAAAGCCCACTGGCCTGTTGTTTTTATTTTTGTCTTTGAGGTCAGATTTTTTCTTGTTGCCTTGATGTTTGATTTTTTATGCCCTGCCATTTCATAGTGTCACCTTGGCATTCATCTTGTCATTCTATTATAATTCTGTTTCCACTGGTTTACAGATAGAGATATAGAACTGTAATTTGGTATGTAGGTGTATAATCATCATATGCAGGTCAAGGTCAAAACTTAATCTTTGCCAACTTTTATTCAAGATATATTGCTTTTAAACTTCAAAAATTGTAATTTGAATTTTTCATAAAAATGGTAAGATGTACATTTTCTAGGAGAGACATCATCTTGCCTCACTCTAGTAGGAACATAATAAAATTCTCAAGGCAGAACTTCAAATTTATTTCATTTCAGATATCTTTACCATGGATTCTGAAGGAAAGACGAAAGTTTTATTTCATGAGTCATGAACACACCTCTTAAAAAGTCATTAACACTAAAAAGTTGCTGAACATTTTGTCCATCGTCATGCATCATCTGTCATAAACAATTCACATTTTTACTTCATCTCAGTAACTTGAAGGCTGAGAGTTCTGATATTGGGACAGTAGCATGCTGTGATGAAGGGCTATCAAGCTTGTTGAATAACCTTGTCTGATTAACAAGGTCACTGATGTTAAATGTGTTAAAATCTTTAAACAACTTCATCTCAATGACTGAAAGAATCACATGTTTGATATTGTGCCTGTAGCACAGTGGGATGAAGGGCTACCAACTGTGTTCAAGTGAATGACCTTGACCCACTTTCAAGATCACAGGGGTCAAATGTTTCAGTAGTTGTATTCATATTAAGTTTGAATTGAAAACAATATGGGAATTTCGTTGTCAAGTAAGTTGAATGTTTTGAAAACTTCTGTGCAGGGCCCTAAGAGTTGGATTTATTCAAATTTCTGCTATGTCCTTTAAATCCACCCTTGCTACAAGCAATACGCTACAGGCTTTAATCTATTGCTAGATATTGGATAAGGCAGTTTTGCTTGTCATTTGCTAAAAGCAAAAATTCAAGTCGGGTGACTATTAAGGCCTATGGGCCTCTTGTCCGTCTTTTATCAGAAACTTTCAAAATATATTATTATATTGTTGTGATCACATCTTATTTTGTTTTAACAGTAAATTGATGTCAATTATTAAAAGCATCAAGAAACCGGATATTTCAGGGTGAGTATCTAACATAAAGTCATTTTTGCTTTTATCATAATTCATTCAGAAGGAATCAGCATTGAATTTTCTCATCAGCCAATAAATCTTATTTGAAAAAATAAGAATATCACACTTGGTCTTGGTCTAAGATTCTGTGACTGTTGATTTGAAATTTGGTTTGTAACATGAAAAAGATCAACAACGACACTTTATTTTGTTGGTACAGTTGTTGAAGAATACATGCTCTTAATGTTAAAGTTGATGATACATAAACACCATTGAATTAAAAGAAAATTAATCTACAGTTGTTTTTTTATAAAAAAATCTCCATTGAAATGAAAATTTCATGATGAGTTATTCCTTTAAATGTAAAGTATTATTCCTAAATTATGATTTAAGAGTTTGTTTGTTTTTTTATTTGCAAGTCCTAGGTAAGTACTTAAGAGCATTGCTGTATATTTTTACCACAGAAAAATATGTATATGTATATCTAAATGCCTGCACCTATGAATATGTAAATATATATACAAGTACATTTATACACTCGTACATACTGAAATTCCTTATGATAACCCAACCCCCCCACCCCCTCAAGATAGTTTAGAGGATATACTGGAATCATCTTGTCCGTCTGTAGATGAACATTGCACGGCTATGCATTTGCTCAGTTTACAACAGATCTTTTGAAAATTTTCTGAGAATGGCCAGTTCAATATGGAGATGTATCCACTTAAGGCTGTACTCCGACGAGAAGTGAAGAAAAAATCTGGTATTAAACTTTTTTCTGGTGATGATATTGAAAGGTTTTAAGAACAGATTAAAAGCAGAAACTATGTTACTGCACTACTTTTTCCAGTACAGGCATCAGAATAGGTGTAAAGGAGTTATTAATTTTTTCTTGAATAACAGACATTGCCTGTTATTTTTGTGGCAATCAATTTTCAGATAAATTTCTATCTTTCATTAAAAAATAAAGGTATGATACTTTGATATAAAGAAAAAATAATGTAAAATGCTAAATTTCACTTTAACAAGAATTAATCATGCATAGCAACCAAAATATCAGAATGTTCCTAAATGTCCTAAATCCTACATTTGACTACATTCTAGCATTCAACATTTTTTAAGATTCCATATTTGGAAAGAGAAATTTTCAATGATACTTTTTATGATTAAAAAGAAGGGGTTGCTTTGCTTTATTTTCATCAAAAAATGAGAGTTTTCCAAGATCAAGAAACAAAATGAATTATTCGTTTTGGTTCCTAAAAATCTTGGATTTCATGAAGTTGGAATTCATGAATTGGAAGTTTCCAGAGTTATACTAGCAACCAGGAAACATTGAAATTGTTGATGCTATTATCCAAATCAAGCTGTCAACTATGCCATCAAAAAAGAGTACCTCCTAGTCTACAAGCAAAATTGTAACTGTAGAAACTTTAATCTAAAATTTTGTCCAGATTTGCATCCTTTGGTGAAAAGGTTTCCAGTTTTTATAAATGTTGGGTCTTGGCTCCCTGGGGCGGGAGGGGCAGAACCAAATAGAGGGAATAGAGGAACTGCACAAAGTTTTCTTTTGTTGGTATGCCTGGATTATTTCCCAATATGGTCTGAAGCATTCTTCGGTGAAGGGGAATCAATTTTGTATAAATGGTTGCACTCGGACCCCTGGGGTCTAAGGGATGGGCCGAATAGGGAAAATATAGCAAATGCTTTAAATTTGTTTGTCCTATGAAAAGAACGAATATACAACTTAGGTCTAAAGAATCCCTGGATTAAGGAGAATTCAGTTGTATAAATGGTGGGTCTTGGTCCTCTGGGGACGGATAGACAGGGCCTAGTAGGGAAAATAGAAGTACTGTTTTGATATCCTTCTTTTGTCAGAATACCTGGATTATGTCCCAACTTGGTTTGAAGCATCATGTGGGTAAGGGGGATCAATTTTGTATAAATGATGGGTCTCTGGCACCCTGGGGGCAGGAGCAGTAGTGTCCAATAGAGGAAATAGAGCAAATTCTGTAAAAATCTTCTTCTCAAGAATTGTTCTTATTTTATTTGAAGTATTCTTAAGTAAAGGGGAATCAATTCAGAATAAAGGGAGTGTCTGGACCCCTGGGGCGGGAGGGATGACATAAATCTTTCAAATGCTTTTCATGTAGTTTATATTTAAGTAACTTCAGCAAACATAACTGGATGAAAGATACACACCCTATGGGCATCATGTTAGGAAGGTGGAGTGCATTTGTTTTACTCCAGACATGATTATATGTCTGTCATATCTAAATATTACATTTTTTCCCCCAGATATTCATAATCGTTGTAGAGGCTTGTCCGAACTTATTTTCAAATTTCAATGGAAATTAAAACATCTTAGCATGTTTTTTTGGTTTTTGCTTTGGCTGAGTTTAGAAGTAATTTTCTTTACATAGCTTTTTACCGGGGATAGTGTAGAAGATATTTTACAGGTGTTCAAATGATGACTATCAGTGTAAGCTTTATTGTCTTTATTGTTTTTTCCTGTTATTGTTCATCTCATCCATCAGTAAAACCTACTGTTAACTTGTGTGGTTCTGAAGCTACATGACAACTTATAATGCGGTTCAATGAATACATGTGCCAGCATACAGAATGTGTTTAATGTGTATGGTTTTATCACTGTGATAATCTTCAGCATGTATTTAGAGAAATTTTGCATTAACTTACTATTTATCCAATCTGGCTGTAGCTGGATATGATCTTCCTTTCTTGAAATGTACATGTACAGTCAGGTGTATACCAGCATACATGTAAAGTTGATAAGGTACTTCTTATGTGAAGTATGTATACTTTTATTTTAGTTTTGTAATGGAAGATAATACAAGTAATCCCCGGACTTCCTTTACATTGATACCTAACAGATTTTTTATGTATTTCCTGTGTTTATGTTAGTTGTCTATAACTGGTGTAATGCCTTACCATTAGGCTGTAACCATGGGGACATTGTTAAACAGGTAGGTGTTGAGACAGGGAATAATTACATGTTAATTACAGGTAAGACCAATGTCTTATCACGATAGATACATGTAGATATAAGTTGATTGATTTTGGATGAGATTTGTGCTAATGTACATGCATTTTATATTTTTTAAGGATGATTCTTGATTGATTTTATGTTTTTTATGTACTATTTTATGTGAATTTCAGTAATCTATTCTGGGGTGAAAAAGAAACACAAGTTCAACTTTACGCTTTACGGTTTCATAAAATAATGTTCATGCTTAAATGTGAAATGCAATAGTTAACTTTGAATAATGGATCATCTGTCTTTTCTGAGAATTTTTATCAAATGAGGACTTCATTAGGCTGCCATGGATTAGGTTACCCTAATGTACACAAAGTTGAAATATTGGCAGACTGATCCCTTATATTGTGTGTGCTCTACTGAACAGCAAGTGTCTCTAATTCTGCGTGGGAGTTCTTAAAGACATTGACTGTCGGTAGAGGAATGTTATTCCATTCCTCCGTGAGTACGTTGGCCAATTAGCAGAAATTATTTGGGATGATTGCTTTATTACGTCTTATGTATCCCATAAGTGTTTGACTGGGGACAAGTCGGTTCTATATGGAGACTAATCAGAAGGGACGATGTTTGGGTTGTAAGAAAATCCCTACAAACTCTTGCAACATATGGTCTGTTGTGTTATCATGCTAAAAGGTCCAGTGGTGCCTAATAATGAAAGGCACAATGAGGCCTTAGGATCACATCTTGCTGGCATACAATTGTTAAATTCCTGATCCCTGAAGGCGTTTTTAAACAATGGAAAATTCCTCCCAAAGTCATAACTAATCCATGCCAAATCAGTTGTGCTCCAAAAAACAAGCATCTGCAAGACGCTCTCCCTGAGGCTGGTACATACGTTGACAGCCATCTGATAAAAATAAAGTAAATCAAGATTCATCCATGAAGAGCACGGACCGCCAACGTCCCAGAGGACGCCATCAACTATCGCATACAAGGCGCTGGAAATTTAAGTGTCAGTGGCACACCAGTGTACTAGTGACTTGGGTGTAAATTTGCCTCTTACAGTCTGTTTCTCACAGTTTCTAGCTCACCTGGCCCAAAGGGTCAAGTGAATTATTGGTATACCACAGCGTCTGTCCGTTCATCTATCCATTCATCTGTCCATCCGTCTGTCAACTTTTTCTATGTCTAGTCATGGACGATTAGGAGAAATTTGAACAAATTTTGTCAGAAGCTTTGTTGGAGGAAAGGGAACAAATTTTGCATAAAAGGTGGTTTTTACCCCATGGGGCAAGAGAAGCAGGGCCCATTATGGGAAATAATGCCAATTCTTTGAAATCCTACTTCTCCTGTTAGAACGATCGGCCCTGAAGTATGAATTGATTGATTGATAGAGTGCCTAATGGCCTCTTGTTGGATGTATTCAATGTTTTCCATTATCAATGGTTTTCCAAGCTGTTTTGGCTGCCATTGAGTGCTACCCCTCATGAGCATTGTAAGAGCCTGTTCTCTATCAATTTGGGATAGTTGTGGCATATTTGTAAAAACAATTATTAACTGCAGATATATGAGTTATCACACATCTTGGTGTCACAGTTTACATGGGTACACCGGATAGGGATAAGTTTTTTGTCACAGATGACTGATTTTTAACATTCATTGGGGATTAGGTAAAGTATCCTCTTGATCTTTATCTATGACTATGTATATTCAGTACAAAATATTTTACAAATAAAATCAGAGTTGTGTTTGTTTATCCTTTCAGTATATTTATTGTATATTTTTCATAGACTTATACCGATATTTTACAATGTTGAACATACAATACATGTAAGATAGTCATCAGTGAATAGAGGTATTTATCACACGACACAGCATACATAAATAAACCCTACACACAGCTGGACAGTTAGTGTCGGCAAATTTGCATACATACATTGATGTACAGGATTTTACTTGGGTGTCAGTGTAATAAATTTAGTCCAACAATTTGCAGTCAGAGGTCACTAATTTTTAAGTGTGAGATATTATTTTGAAAAATTTATGATGTGGAAAATTGACTGGTATGCTTAAAAGATGTACGTTATTTAATGTCATTTGCATTAGCTGCCTCAATTTTCCTTATATCTACAGTTTTTTAACGTTTCACACATATGTGGTAACTTTATTATAAGTCCCTGATGTGTAGTATTATTATTATGAAATTAAAGTACCGAAAATAACCATTTTTACATTCAGTTGGATGGTTAATTTTACATGATTTCACAGAATGGACACTCTTTTTGTCATAAATGCTGCATGCTTAATTCATGTTAGAGAAGATCATATATGTAATTAAATAACTCAAGATGATATTGTTGAATGAATATATTTGACTTTTTAAATAGTTTTTGGAGTCAAATTGTATCAAGATATTTCTTGTTATGCTTGTTAGGTCATGTGATCGGTGCATCATGTGCCATGCATTGTCCGTCCTGCTTAAACTTCCCATTCAAATGAATCAATAAGCAAAAGGTTAAGAGTGCTGATATATGGCCTGAAGTATGCTAGGTAAAGCTCTACAAAGTTTGAATGAATGACCTTGACCATCTTTCAAGGTCACAGATGTCAAATATGTCAAGGGTGCTTATATTGTGACTATAGCATCCTGGGATGAAGAGATACCAATTTTGTTATGTGATTGACCTTTTCTCTATTTAAAGGACACAGGGGTCAAATGTGTTAAAATCTTCAAACAACTTATCAGTAATAAAATGGTAGAGGCTGTTGATATTGGTTCTTTAACATAATTAGTGGATGAAGGGCTACCAGATTATTCAGATAATTGACCTTGACCTATATTCAAGGTCTCTTGGGTCAAAAGAGTTGAGATCATAAAATATCTTTTTCATCAAGCAGTAGGTCTGGAGTAATGACATTTTGATATATTTAGTTTCAAATTTGCAGAAATGGTTTGTCTGAACCACCACTGTTTCTTTGTGAGCTGTAGAGTAGTTGAGCAATTGTTTTAGGCCTCTTTGACCTCTTTCATATATAAATCTTTATAGTCAGATGGCTGTTAAGGCCTTTGGGCCTCTTGTTTAGATATTCATTATGTTCATGGATTAGAAATCAAAATCTGAACATATGCTTCTGAGTTTTGTATGATAAGATTTCATTTAACAGCATTTTACCACTGTTAGTAGTACAGAATAATGCTTTGTGTGTAAAAATAGAACATGCAGCAAAAATGAATGTTATCTTGAATGTGTATTAATGAAAACATGAAATACTATAAAAATAATCAAAAGACACAAAAAAGTTAACACAGCCTTGGTTCAAGGTGAACATTTCACTTATTACTATTTTATGGAATAAATAAATGAAAGTGCAATTTTTACTTGGGACCAAGGATGGAGTTTTCAGGTCGCTTGATTAAATTGAGTACAACATTGCCTTAACTTTTAAGGTTTATATTTTTTTTATTTTTAAATAATATTGACATAAATTAACACTTTTCATTTAGGTCTGGTAAGATTAAGCGCCTCCTGCGACAAAAATCTGTTCGAGTCACAGATTTTATGTCCCAAAATTCAGTTAAAATTTCGGGCTTTGTGTCCGAGTCATTTTCAAGGTATATTTTTTATCAGGTGTCTTTTTTCTCAATGGTCTGGGTTTCTTTTTTCAACTTTGGAGTTTGACATCAATGGAAGTTAAGGTTTTGATTGTAAATTGTGGATTAAAAGGTTGATGCATGGCATGATTTTGTGATGGTTTGTATTTCAAATTATCTGAAATATTTTATACAGGCGGTGATATTAAATAGACTAAGAATGCAGTGTACACTGGAGTCAGAAATGTCAATTTACACAATTTACAGTAATTTGAATATGAATTTGAAAAGGAACAGTTGTATTTGGTGTGATACTCTCTTGAAGTTCTTGATAATCCTAGATAGCAGTTTGTGAGAATGAGTTTGATGAATAAGCTACATGGAGACTCCACTTTACATTGTTATTGTTGATGTGGTGTAAATTATGAATTTTATTTTTGAAAAGAATGTTTATTGTTGTATAATGATTATGTAAAAAGTCTTCTTTTCATTTTACACAAAATTTTGTATATTGTTTGTAAAAAAAAAAGTGCTTTCTTCATTATTGTAAGTCTCAAGAGAAAATAGAAGTAACCCTAAGTGTTAAAATAAGTTGTTTATTGATGTTGATGTGTAATTGTATTGTTACTGTAGGTGTTTAAAATAAATAGATAAATATCCTTATCAGTATCCTATAAAAAGTCCCCATTATGTGTAGCACATTAATGACTTTCTGCTTTAGAAAAAATTAAGTAAACTTAATGGCAGCTGATAAAAATATTGTTAGATAGCCATATTGGTTCCTCCCATCAGAAAAAAGTACCAACAAAATCAGAAAAAAGTAAAAACAATTTAGTAGATGTGTAATTTGATTCTATTGTGATGTTAATTTGCAGAGTACAGAACATCATCAGTAATCGTGCACCTGCAAGTCCTCGAGTCCCTCAGAGGGACTATAACCAGAAAGCAGCTCCACCCAGCTCTGCTCCACAGATAGACAGTGGTAAACATTCCTATCCTTTCTCCAAACACTACTTTCCATATAGTCAGTAATCACTGGTAAAGATTCTTATCCCCCCCCTCCAAACACTCCTTCCCACATGGTCAGTAATCACTGGTAAAGATTCTTATCCCCCCTCCAAACACTCCTTCCCACATAGTCAGTAATCACTGGTAAAGATTCTTATCCCCCCTCCAAACACTCCTTCCCACGTAGTCAGTAATCACTGGTAAAGATTCTTATCCCCCTCCAAACACTCCTTCCCACATAGTCAGTAATCACTGGTAAAGATTCTTATCCCCCCTCCAAACACTCCTTCCCACGTAGTCAGTAATCACTGGTAAAGATTCTTATCCCCCCTCCAAACACTCCTTCCCACATAGTCAGTAATCACTGGTAAAGATTCTTATCCCCCCTCCAAACACTCCTTCCCACATAGTAGGTAATCACTGGTAAAGATTCTTATCCCCCCTCCAAACACTCCTTCCCACATAGTCAGTAATCACTGGTAAAGATTCTTATCCCCCCTCCAAACACTCCTTCCCACATAGTCAGTAATCACTGGTAAAGATTCTTATCCCCCCCTCCAAACACTCCTTCCCACATAGTCAGTAATCACTGGTAAAGATTCTTATCCCCCCCCTCCAAACACTCCTTCCCATATAGTCAGTAATCACTGGTAAAGATTCTTATCCCCCCCTCCAAACACTCCTTCCCACATAGTCAGTAATCACTGGTAAAGATTCTTATCCCCCCTCCAAACACTCCGTCCCACATAGTCAGTAATTGCTGGTAAAGATTCTTATCCCCGCCCTCCAAACACTCCTTCCCACATAGTCAGTAATCACTGGTAAAGATTCTTATCCCCCCTCCCAATTGTCCTTCCCACATAGTCAGTAATCACTGGTAAAGATTCTTATCCCCCCTCCAAGCACTCCTTCCCACATTGACAATTGGTAAACATTCCTGTTCCTTCCTTCCCTCTTTCCTGTCTTCGAAACAATATTATTGGTAATAGGAGTATTGGTAACAGGAGTATTGAAAAAGGATAAAAATGAAAAAAGAAATCAGAAAATAGACTAACCTTTCAATGAATTGAAATGCAGACAAATGTGACAACATGACAACCATTAGATTGTGTATATATTGTGAAACCTCCAAGATATAGACATTGTTTCGTTACATAAAAGAGTCATTTGTCCACAGTTTGTGTAATGATATGCATCACATTATTAAACCTTTATATCTTCTTAAAGTTTTGTATTTCATACATTATACAATGCTGTGACCTTGTGAATGAGATTAAAAAAAAGAAACAAAAGGTGCTAATTGTTTTAATCTACAATGTCGATATATTTTTCTTGCTTGTAAAGCAACATGGTTGATGATTGTCAAGTGTAGTCATAGTGTAGTCATACAGAAGTTGTCAGCTTCAGTGATAAAGTTCTAGTGGAAAATTACAATTAGAAAAAACCTTAGAATTGTAAATAATTCTTTTCTTTGACAGATGATTCTGGATCAGGTACAGATGATGATTATGAATGGGCTGCCAGCGATTTTGAGGTAGGAAAGAGCTCCTAACATTCTTGGCTAGTTATTGTAGGGTTCTACATCAATCTTTAGACAACACATTATGACCAAAATGATACTAATATGGAGTCTGAGAAACATTTAAATGGAAATTATCAAAACATTTTTCTGAAGTTAGAAAAACTTACTTTGTTAAAACAATTTACGTCACTTAACATGAACTATCGATGGTTTACCTTTTACAAAGTGGCTGAGTTTCAATAAGATTGGCATATAAAAACTCAATTATCTGCACATCTATACTTTTAAGGAAATGTTCTTCTTAAGAACCTAAAAGTATAGAGTTATTAGATATATTTGGCTTAAAAATGACTGGGTCAGAGTGGGGTCAGGGTGCATTTCATTTTGATTGAATTCATTACCTTGACCAAATTATTGGTTGTGTATTGGTGGTAAGAACAATAATGATGCTGGTTCAGTTATTCATATAAAGCCTGATGTTGTAATATTTGACCTGAATAAGGCTAGTATAGAAACAAAGATTTGTTGAAATTAATGAGTTTGACCCAATTAAGAAGTCATTGTGCTTAAAATGTGTTTACAACATGACTTTCATTAATCAGAATCATGACCTTTCAGTGGATGTGTTTACAACATGACTTTCATTAATTAGAATCATGACCTTTCAGTGGATGTGTTTACATGACTTTCATTAATCAGAATCATGACCTTTCAGTGGATGTGTTTACATGACTTTCATTAATCAGAATCATGACCTTTCAGTGGATGTGTTTACATGACTTTCATTAATTAGAATCATGACCTTTCAGTGGATGTGTTTACATGACTTTCATTAATCAGAATCATGACCTTTCAGTGGATGTGTTTACAACATGACTTTCATTAATCAGAATCATGACCTTTCAGTGGATGTGTTTACATGACTTTCATTAATCAGAATCATGACCTTTCAGTGGATGAATTATCAGGCATGCACTATGGCAGAAGATTTCTGCAATGAAAATTTTGGTCCTGATTTCAAGGTCAGAGATATCAATTTGTTTTTAATTTGAAGGAAGAATCAGTGATTACATTTATTTAATATTCTTGATGAGTTGAATATTAATGTAACATGTTTGTGTTAAACATACGTGGACTTTTTTTCTGTTGTTACAGGATGAACATGATGATGGAGGACATGGTAGGTCACTTGTGTAATATTCTTAATTTTTTAATTTTTCAATATTTGTGTTGATTTATTTTCTGAAATTTCCCTTTCCGGTTACTAATCACAGTCATATTCATATGATAAAATAAGGTAACTGAGTTTCCCAAATGAATGTTAGTATTAGGGTGATTGTTAATTCTGTTGATATTCCTACCATTGGCAGAGGGTACATTTGAACTAATATCCAAATGCATGTATTAAATTGACTTTGGAATGAATCAGTGCTTTTCTAATAAACCAATTTTTTGTAATCTTTTCAGAACATATCTAATAAAGCCCAAGGGGTAATCTATTAGAATGTGGACAGTATATGAACCCCTATTTCAGAATTTGATATCATGGATATAAATGAAAGCAATATGCTGTTAAATCTTACTAATTAACAAACGGACGAGGGCATTAGAATGGAGAGAAATAATTTGTTTAGTATTTCTGAGTTGTTGGCAGACATATTTTCCTAAATTTCCTGACTGCTGAATTATCATGACAACTATTTATGGTGCAGAATGACCCCAAACCTAATGGAGTTCATGTTTTACCTCTTATGTATTGATGGGTTCTTGCTCATTTCCTGTCAGTTGCCATTGTTTAATTCAGCTTTTGCCTTTAGTAAGCATCTCCAGCAATATGGTACATGCCACATTTTTCATCTCTTAGATCAATGTCAGGTTAGTTATTGGGTCAAGGTCAAATACAAATTTAATGGGGAATTTCACATGATCTCTCTTCAAAAAATTCTTTGTCAATGCAGATAAGTCATATGCAGTAACCCTACAGAATGTGTAGTTTCAATCTATATTTAGTGAAAGTCACTAATACTTTTTATAGATTTTTTTGAGTAATGATATCTCTCAGGTTAGCTTGAAGTTAAAGACACCAAAACCTTAATGGCTGCTTATATACAAGAAATAGCTCCTATTAGTGAAACATGGGTGCTATGTAGTTTTCCTCTGGGTCTGACCATCCATCTCACTGTCCATTTGTCCATTGGAGTAAGTTTGTAGTGCTTTATCCGTTTCATTCTTTGAGGGGTTCTCATTAAACTTCACACCTTATCAAGCATTGATATATCTTGGACAAGTTTGATTTTAAGGATTGTTGGTCAAAGTTAAGGCCACTGTTACTATTTCAAGAAAATTGTAAGTGCTCTATCAGCTTCATATCTAGAGGGATTCTCATCAAATTTCCCCACACTCTTAAAGCATTAAATCATCTTAAACAAGTTTAAGATTAAGGGTTGTTTAATTAGGGTCAAGGTCACTATTTCTATTTATAGAAAAATCTCTATTAGTGCTCTTGCGGCTTTGTTACAAGATTTTGATGAAATCTCACACACTCATAAATGACCTTAACACATTATTACACATTGTTGATGAAACTGTAGTATCATGTTGTCATTCTTATTTATTGCATTCATTGTACTATCAAAATTAGTTACAAACTAAATTCTTTTCCAAATTAACACCAAACAGCACCATCTTTAGTGTAATATCTTCCTATGGGGATTGGTAGGGGTTATCTGCAATACTCATTCTGCTTGCTTTTTATTGGAGCTTTTTTATTGGTTCTTACCAGGAATAAGTAAAGATAGGGACATTTCCATGTTTGTAATAAAAACACTGATCAGACAGTGAAATATTAAGTTTGTCTTTGTAAGGTTAGACTGTATCGTTGGAATAAGTTTAAAAAAAATGTTCTGTGGAAAATCATCCTTCATTAGAATGAATTCAAAGTTTAGTTGCGGACTGGTGCACTGATTTAAAAAAAATGTACTGTCTGTTTGATTCATTTTTATATCTTTTGTTCATACTTTCTGTGACTTGTTAAGAAATTGATAAATATTTTGAACAGGTCACAGCTCTCATCACAGAAATGGTCATACAGATAAGTAAACTGGAACTTTGATAGTGTCAATGCTCTGTCACATCTTTTAAACTCAAACATTCTACACCTTAAATATATCTATAGCTTCTGAGTAACTCTTTTTCTGAAACTAATACAAATATTTCCATACTTAATATGTATAGTATAATTCAATAACCGTATTGATTTAATTCAAAATAATTCCGTGGTGCCTTATCAATTAGTGGAATTTTCATTCATATTTATTTTAATAGAACAACTTGGTAATCACCCTTAGTACTTTTTAATTTGGGTGAATTAAAGTTATTGTAGAAAAATTATCTAGTTGATATTACCATTAACTCAACCAGAGAAAAACATTTAAGTGTTTATTATTTAAAAGAGATAAAGTGTTTATCAGTAAATCTGATTGATAATAATAAAATTGTCAATCTTTTACTTTAATTTTTGGGAATGACTATAGTTTGGAAATATTTTAGACTACTGCTTATACTAACCAATGCGATAATAAACTTCTAACTTTTTCTAATTTATGCATGGTATTACTATTCAGTAATTGGAACTTGTTAGACTTCCAGAACCGTATTTATCTGGCAATAAGCTCATCCACGTTTAATTGTCTAGTAATAAGCCCACTCCCTGATTTGTAGTAGGAAGTAATGCATTGACCCCCTCCCCCCACCTCCTTGCTTATTGCAGGATAAATACTGTTTTTACAAAGCTGCTCCATGTTATTGTGCTTGTTTGCTGATATTGTCTTCATATAACCAATGGTATATATATATCACTTCCTGATACTGAATTGATTCAGGTTTAATAATTCATTAAAGGAGAGGTAACTTAAAACTAAGATTAAGGTATGTCTTAAAAAGTTTTTCTATTCAACATCTGATTTTATTTAATGGGTGTGGACAATATATTGGATATCACTATGTTTTTGCTTCCTGTGTACAGTTACAGTTATTGTTTGGCATTGTTTACAGTTTAATTATACCAAAGTCAGTTATGTAGAATACCTGAACTCATGAACTGTTACAGAAATATGGCATTGAATAATGTGCAGGTAACCAATTAGGGTTGTCTTCCCATATGACAAGATGAAAATTAAAGAAGCAAATTCAACACGAAGCACCAAGGAATTAGCTTGTTTCTGGATGGCTTCTGTATGCTTATGCAAAGTACGCGTGAAGTTAAATGCTTAAATGGACTAGTAGTATTCTACAAGGTACGAAGTATAGTACAAAAGTATGTATTGTAGAACTTCCTGTCAGATAGATAAAAATTATGTGTATATAATATCAGTTAGGTCAGTTAGAAGATCCAGTTAGTTGAGGAAGGGTTTCAGTAAGCAAAGATAGCAAGCACAGTATTTAATCTAACAGGCATAACAGTACTTGTAGTCATGGTCAAAGTTCACTACTACTTCTGCTACATACAACTGACTTTTATCATAACATACTTATGGTAAGTCAACTGCCAAGGTCACCTTATACATATATTTGAAAAAAAATTGCCTGGATTTCAAACAAAATTTACAAACACTGTAAATCTACTGTAATCTTTTTTAAGCACATGGTTGCTGGAAACCAGATAGAAAAAAGTGATCACAAATGAGCTGATACTAATCAATAAAAATACTAATTTGTCAGCGACACATCAGTTTATGATTAAATACATTTACTGGATGTACATACACAAACTGCAAGTTTTAGGTTATTCTATATAAGATCTCTCTGATAGACACTGATGAGTCATTGTATCACTTTTTACATCACACAATGTCTCGGTTCATAGAAACATGGTTAAGTCAAACCATTGTATAAGTCTTATATTTCATTTGGTTCCATTGACTGCAACTTATCCATGTTCTACTGTATATATACATAAGGAATTGTAATGTATCAACATGAATGAAGCTGCAGTAGTGTGATTGTTTGTTGAATGCGAACATATGTAAACGCTGATTGCGTTTAAAAAGATACATACAACCTCGACAATTTCCCTAATATGTATCTAGGGTAGAATGATATAAGAAAAGAATAATGGAAAATAGAAAAATTACAAACATGCAGATTCTGGACATGGATGTGATTTTTTCACATGATATGGTAAATTAATGGAGAAAAAACACTTCTTTAACATCCCGATGCTTAATTTCAAAAGTACAAAAAATAACACCTCGTATAATTTCCTTAAAAACTTTTGGTGTTTCAGGATAAACCATATGATTTGTTACTTTTTGCACTTTTGAAATTATATATTTGTATGAGCATCTAGGTGTCATGAAATACTTTGTTAACTTACCATGTCAAAAAAAACAATCACAAAGATGTCCACAAATATTGATACATTGCAGTGGGTAAACTGTGACATTTTTTTCAAAATATGTAAAAATTTGACAATTCAAGGTCACAATTATTTTTTTATTTTCTGGTGTTAAGCACATTTAAAGGGAATGGTATTAATTTTGATTCATCCATCCCTTTCTCTGTGCATTCATCTGAGCAGTCATTTTACTCAAAATACCTTCAGTATTGATCATTATGAAGTTAATAGACATATCAAGCTTTTTGGTTATGACCTTTGGTATTAGCAAGTTTGTTATATTTGGTATTTCTATTACTATCAAAGAAGAAAATGAAAACACAAAATTTACTGTTTGCATTAACAAAATTACTACCGTTATGCTACAACTCAAAATTCCAGGCCACTTAGTAAACTGCCACATAGTGGTTGAATTGTTTTTGTGATAGATATAAATTGCAAGCACAACACTGTCTGTTCAGGAGGTGTGGAGGATGAACAGGGGGGTTACCTAATGCTAGTGGACAACTCACAACTACAGCATCAGGTTGTCTATCAGAATCTGAAACAGAGAGTGAGTGATCATTTTCTTGTTTAACCCTGCCCTGGCAAAAACCTTGACATTATCAAAGACTTACTTCCTGTATACATGTAGCCTTCCACTTTGCATAAAATTGAACATTCTTCTCCCATCTCACTCTGCTACATAAAAAATGCTGGCACATCATTCCCATCACACAGGAACCTATATTTGTTTTACAATTAAGCACATGAAAACTGCACATAATTACTTAACTTTGTATTATGAAAGACATCTGTATGACATGTTTGACATTTAAGATTTTGTGTATTAAAATATGGTGTGATGCCGTGTAAAATTAAGGATAGGAAAAACATCTACCAGGTATATCGTGACTATGTCTACCCAGGGTAACCATAAATTACAGCTGAGGGTTAGAGAGGTGTCACCATGCACCAAGAGACACCAAACGTCACATATACCTTCTAACCAGTATGTCAATATCCTTAGAAACCATCCAGGATCACTCCATCCTGTATACAGAATATAGTTTTGTTGTGTTTTTCATATTTCTCTGATAGCATGGGATGTTGTTCAAGCTTTCAGGAGAAATTCAAGAGAATTCGTTTTGTGAGATTTCATAAGCGGAGACAGAGTGAGAAACTCCCAGTTTTTGGTAGGTACTTTTCCGTTCTTTGGCAGGTGAATTAGAGGTAATTTTTTTGTTAATAACAGAACTCTTATGATAGATGAAATAAGTAAAACCAAAAAAAATCCAGGTGAAAGGTCATGGCCAGTACAGTATAGCTTGATTAAAATAGAGTGTGGCCTACGTAACCTTGGATGAAGGTCTGTAGTCAATGGTTCGATTCTCCCTACCCATGGTTATTTCTGAGGAAGCTTAGAAATTTATCAGTGGGTGTGTGACATGATGGTAATTAAGTGACTGAGACATTTTACCCTAATTGCTTTAGATGGCATGTGACATATGCCTGTTGTATGTTGCTTAGTGAGATAACCTACTACAACAGGAGACTACCACAAATGACTTTTCACAAGGTGGTAAACCCAGACAACAGACTTTAGTGAAAGGGTTTATCCTAACTTGGAAGAGAGGATCACCTACCTGCCCATGTCAGAAAAAGTCATTGTTCTTTAGACGACCTATTCACTTCTTCTCATGCACAATGTACACAGCAACTTAAATAAGAGAGAAAAGCATTAAAAGTCATATCTATTCTGTCATTTAAAAATTGTTGAGCATTAATTTCAAAACTTCATAAAAATTTTTTTTAAAGATTTTTAATATTTTAAACACACACTGAAACTGCAATTAAAGAGAAACCTAATGATTATATAAAGAAAAAAAATTAAGAAGATATTTAATTTACTCGGAATAAGAGCTTTTTTACTGATACAAAATTATGTTATGTTTTATTGGACTTTTAATCCCTCATATGTATCTGAGTGCTTCTCTGTAAAATCATACATGAGGGGTATACCTGTCATTTAATGTTGCATGGTGTATTTACAATTTGAACCCTAAGGTACAAGTTAAGTATTGAATCATATACTGCCAAGTGCTGTGACTTACCCCAAAACTCTGCATGATGATGTAATCATGCAGTTACTTATAAAATCAACATCATGATGTTTACCAGTAGGCCAGTGTCAGTACATGTATGACTTCATTGGGGATATGTTGTATTAGATGGACACTACAAGAATTTATCAACTTATGCACATAGAAATCTCATAATTGTTAACTGCAACAGTAAACGTAAATGCATTAGCATGTTAAAATTTTTGTAGATTATCATATTAATTACAGCTCAACTCAGATTCTTAATGAATATATTGTGTGTATTTCTGCAAGTTTCCTTCTTAGCTTTAGTGAGATTTTGTTTTTCGTAACCACCAAATATATATGTCTTAAATATAGTTCTTATTAAAAAAAAAACAACAAAGCAAAAAAAAAAAAAAAAAGAAAAAACTGTCCAGAATATCTTAATTTGTTAGTTATTTGTGTATTAAATGACCTATCTGCATTTTAGGCCAGCATTAATAAACATTGTTTATAAAGAATATGATATATATCCAAAATAACATTTTCTAATTGATGAAAAGCTTTCTGCATTGGCCACATTTCTATAAAGTTTCTACAAAGGCCAAGTGTCTGCTAACAATAAGTAACTTGTCTTTCCATGTATTGTAATGTTTTGCATTCTTTGTAACTGTGTAACAACCTGATCATGATGTATTCAGTTTAACAAGAGACTGTTTATGTCTCCATTTTTTTCTTAAAGAGGTTTTTGAATATTGAAAGATGTAATATTCAACCTCTGATATCAGTATTGAATTCAAAAAGAAAAAACAAAACTTATTAATTTGATTATACACTACCTGGCACATACAGTATTTAACTCGTAGGTCCCAAATGTACAATGTAATTTATACTGCCAGAGACATAGATATAGAAATCTACGTCATACTGGCTCTGTATGTCATCACCATTCTGATACCTTGTCATGACATCCAGCATCCTATCTTAATGTAAGGCTCTCTATAAACAATGACATTCACAGTAATGATATTAGTAAGGATTACTGGACATGTTGAGTTGGTGTCCACTTACAGATTTCAATGACTAACAAGGTACATAGTGCCCTAAATCCATCCATCATCACTCAATCATGAGATATGTCCCTGGAGCTCACGGCTGACATATCAACACCCTGAGGTCATACAGTTTCTTAAGGTAGTAGGAATATAGAAGGGTTAGTCACACCGTAAGTCAACTATCCATGTACACGATTTTCAGTGTAAAAACATCTATTGCAGCTTTGTTGACAACTTGACCAATACATGTGGTGATACGAGACAGAATGGTGACATTACGGTTGGCCTTGGACTGATTTGTGTCCTATTTTATGATTTTTGGAGTTAATTGATTCTCTCTGTTAATGTAAATGACAGGGAGTGTCAATATTTTTATACAGTATAGTTCATGGAATATTGCTCATCATCACATACTGTATTATGATAACATTTTAGAGCTGACTGAATCTGAAGAGTCACTGACATTATGATAGGATCAGTTACATTCTGTGTGTTAATTGAAGCTGATCATGACAGGTGCCCAGGTGTTGACTTAATTCAACAAGTTTGATATCTCTTCGTGGATATTTGTGATTTTCTGTCAAGATTATGGATTTTAAAATTATTATGATGTGATGGTTATGGTGCTTTGATAAGTGGTAAAAGATTTAAAATTACTTCATTTAGTCACCATTCAAAACCTAGGAGAAGTTCAGAACAGTGCTAGATAACAAAATTTTCTTTAAATCAATGCAATACAGTCTCAGCATCATGAGTATGGATGCATCGGTTTCTGCTGAACATTTTTGACATATAAAAAGTGTAAATCTAATATCCACTTTCTTGATGAATATTGGACATCCCATTCCACATGAAGATGGATATCTAATGCTCCAATGGAAGTTAGCATGAAAAGTGAGAGTGCGAGTATATCACCACGACCTAGCTCCTCCACAGATATAACCACCATGAGTGCATTAGGAAAATTCTTAGAGAAAAAAGGATTTGGAAAGCGTACAAGAAAAAGGAGTTCTAGCTTACCGCCAGAAAATAGACTAAAAACCTTCTTTAAGGAAGGTTCAGCTGTCATCGCTTGTCGACATATTTTCAGAAACAATTCATCAGGTCATGTGAATAACATTGACCGTAAGCCAACGCGAGTTTACAAAAAACCAGACAAAATTTCAAGACCAGGTACAGTACTGTTTAAAGATTCACTGACTAGTTCTTTTAATGAATTTTGTGAAAGTGAAAGTAGACTCAGTCACACTATAAGTTGTAACAGTGTCTAAAGTCAAATGTATAGGCCATGTAGTTATAACATGATCAACAGATTTTATTGTGAAAATGTTATAAAAACTCTGATTCATTGCCTGTAACATTTTCTTGTCATTCACAAATGAGTCATGATTTTGGATTGGCCTAACACACTTTCATCGGTCAAGCTTTTCATTTCTTGACCGCCAGTAGTAAGAATGCAGCCAGATACTTCAGGTACTTATGCTTTTTTTGTAACATTGATAATTGAAATATCCCGCTAACAGTAAGTCATTTTGATCTTCGAGTTATATACAATGTAGGCATTAGATTACCATTAAAGTACCTGTATCATAAACACAAATCAATATTTAAGAGGGGAAAGATTTACCTAAAAAAAAAACCAATTCATTTACAACATTTAATAACACTAAATCATTGTGTTTTTTTTAATTAAAGAATCAGTAATTTTCAGACCTTTTGTATTTTTGTTTTAAGTAGGAGATTAAGGTATTACGGTAATTTTTAACTATTAAATACACCAGCTAATTAATACACCAGGTATTTTAAAAGATTTGTGTGTGTGTAGTGGTAATATTGATTTATGAGTTACAAGGATCTTCTACATACATGTATGATATTGTAATCTTTACACTAATATCTAAATCAGTTAAAGTGTGGATATTGAGATTATTATATTAATAAAAAGACATTCTGGTAAAATATTCTTTCAATCATGCTCTACCAAATACATTGAAGTTCATTCCATTATAAAGACAACTGTTAGAATATAAATGCTCATGATTTGACCTTCAAATTTTAGAATATAAATGCTCATGATTTGACCTTCAAATTTTAGAATAAATGTTCATGATTTGACCAAATTTTAGAATAAACTATTAAATTGTTTAAATTGTGAATTAGATTTAGGTAGTTGTATATTTTCAATAATTAAGTTTAGTAGATTTTTATGTATACCTGCTTGCTTTCCACTAACACAATAGTCTGAACCTGCTTGCAACTTCTATATACAATGTACAGGGAAAGATTTGCTGGAGTTCAGCTTTCACTTATTTTTCCATTTGGTCTTCTAGGCAAAATTGTTTTTTAAAATTGGTGTAAAAGTTTGATGTTAAAGCAGAAAAGCACATTTGTATATTGTATCACTGGGTGAAAATTAATGTTTTTAATTGACAGCGAGGAAGTGCCAGGCAAATGTTTCCCTGTAAACAGTACCTTATCCTTCTTGTATACAAAAACATATAAGGGTCCTTAACCAGATTTAAACATTTCTGCAAAGCTGTGTCAGTGATTTTGGCACAGATGTTTTATTGATAAGTTATCATTTAAAGATGTTTTTACAAATTTTCAGTGAAAGATATCCATGACAGATCTGTTACACTTGATAACCATTAAGTAGATTTAATTCCTCTAAATGTAAATATTATGCATGAATGTGAAATTAACAAAATTGTATTACAGTTTTCATAAATTTCATTATTCAGTATTGTCATTCAGTTCAGTTGAGTTTTTTGGTCTGTATTTACCAACAGTACAAATATGACAGTAAATCTGAGAGAATTGTGTGGTTATATTTCTTACTTGTTATATAACTTGTGCCTTAAAATATGTTCAAATCAAATCAAAGCAATGTGTTGTGCAATAACTTGATGATTGGGTTTTATGATTCACTAATGTAATTTTTGATGAGGAACTATTTCTACAATTGGATGATTGGTAAGGTACTTGTGTATTTGGATGATTGGGTTGATGATTGTCAAGTTTTTACCATCACATCAGAACCAGCAAGATTCAGACTCTAGTCCTGATGATGACTATGAAAACACAAAGGAACAGTTAGCTCCACCAGTTCCGGGACGAGAACCAGCTCCCAAGCCAGCGTTTTCTGTTGCTAGTTTGAAAACAGCACTAAGTGACTTTAAACAAAATTCTGTGAAACGGATAGGACAACAAAAATTTCAAGGTTGGCATTCTGTCCAACTCCTTTACTGCCTGATGTGGCATACCCATGTAAACCTTATCATAGTTTCTTCACTAATCAGACTCAAAATCTATAGATCCTGTCTTCTGTATATGAGAAACAAAAAACAACAGTTACACATTTTTTCTTTTATTCCAGTATGTTTTAATTAAGCACTTCCTTTTTCTATGTTACTTGTTGAAATGGTGCAAAGTCAATTTTTCTGACCTTCTGTACATGTGTTATCATGATTGTTAAATATCTGACTCATTCATACAGGTGAATATAAGTTTGTGAATGCTGTAAAAAGATGGGGTCAACATATATGGGAATTTAACATTAGCATCGGCCCCCACTTGGAACAAAATATGATAACCATAAACAGACATGGGTATCAGAAGCTTAAATACGGAAAAGTTAGTCTTGGAATTGATAAAATGGAAGCTCCTTGACTAACACTTTGGTGGGTGTTAAAGTAATTGTTATGTGATTCCTTCTAGTGCATTATCATGATGCAATTTCAATAAAATTATGTCATTAATGTGTGCACATTATACCAACCAACATTTTGATACCACGTATCACACTATTTCAGGAGAAACGTTTCTTTCATTTTGAAAAATGCAGCCAAAACTCATATAAAAAGCCATTGCTTCCAAAACCAGTCTATTTTTCATACTTGCTTAAAAGTTGGCCACAGATGATATCTTTCAAATGGAGGATTCTTGGAAAAAATGAAAACCGATAAATTTGTCATATTACACATTTGTTGAAAAAAACCAAGAAACACTATTTTTTTTTCATTTTTGTTAAATAGTGACAGCTTATTAACCAAAAGTCTGTTGGTCTTGCCATTTGACAAGGTGGTTGTTCATGTCAATTTGTATCAGTTTGGTTAACATTTCTGAACTTGACCTCTGTTCAAGATCACACAAATGAAATTTGTTAAAATAAAGACATTTTTGTGCAAGTTTCACAATTTAAAGATTTAGTTAGCAGCTTTCTACAAATCTTTTGATGAATGTCAATAAAGTGACCTTATTAGATAGATTATGTACAGTAATAGTAACAGGTTTTGCCTTTCTCAGTTTCAATCCATAATTTGTGGCACTTTGAGAAGCTAATAAGAGATAGAACAGTTGCAGTTTGCAGCACATTACATTGCGTTTTAGTATAGCAGAACTGCTCAAGTGATTGCTTGTTTGAACTTGAGTGTTGCATGGACTTGGTTAGTTTGATCTTGATGCTGAACATGGCCCAAGAAATACAAAATGCACGCAACATGTGCACACATTTCAACAGTTCCCTTGCCTGCTGGACAGACACAGTAGTAATCTTTGACAGGGTCATCTTGATCATTTCTGTCAAACGCAATCCAAATGTTGTATTTTGACTGTGATTTGTGCCTTGAATGGATTTTCATCATGCTGATAGACCCAAACTTCAAAGTCTCCCACAGGAGTCTGATGCTCAGCAATATATCTGGGTGCTACTTTCAACTGGTATAATCCGCAGGTTACTGTTGCTAAATATTCCATATCCATATGGAAACTCTGTTGAACAGTAGCTACTTTTACCAGTTCCTCTATGACACTAAGGAAGTAGTTTGAGCTGAGTTGTTCTCTGAACAGTTTCCACTGTTTCAGTCCATGGTAGATCTCCACAACCCATCTTGACTTAGTACCCTGGCAGTCCTTGTTGGCAGTAAGTGTATCATGTTGTGTCTGACCTGACAGAAGATAGGAAGGCATGTACACAGAAAACCCTGAACCTTGCAGCAGCTCCAACACATCCCTAAACCTCCAGTCAACAATCACATTGTCATCTTCACTGAGCCACAAGGTCAGGTTCTCAACTCTTCCAAGAATTTTTGTCAAGATATTTGCATCATTATCATTGCAATAAAAAGGCCCAATAGTGTCTAGTATATAATCATCTGGAAAGACAATGCTCATGGATTTAACAGTTGTGCTTCTTTTGCCCACAGTATGAGGATCTTTGGAGGGGGTGATCAGCACTTTTTTGGACATAAATATAGGTACCATCAAGGATTACAGTTACTTTGTCCCTGTAGAAACATCTTGTAAAGGCAGTGTTGTGGCACTTAGCGTCCTCGCAGGTAATGAATCTTGGACCAAGGAAACGGGGTACAATGGTCTGGCTCAAGGCTTTTAAGACGCTATGAAATGTGTGAGACACATATTGTTTTTTTGTCAGACCACACAAGACACAAAGTTGAGACCATGAAATATTGGTCTTCAGTTTAACCCAAAAAAGAAGCAAAGCATGGAATGTAGAGGAACATGATCCTCTATTGATGTGTGAGGAGCAAATGCTATGGATTTGCTGCATTTGGGCAAGTGTGTAACCAGTCCATGCTTTGATATCTTCATTTCTGAGATGGTCTACATCTATGCCTGTGTTAGTTGGAGTACCAGCAGAGAGGAAATGCCTTAGTTCAAGAAGGTCATTGATAACCTGATTAGCTTTTCTCTTGAAGATGAAGAGCTAACGGTTTCCTTGTTTGCAGATCTAGTGGCAAAGAAATATTCACAAAGTCACCAATTACATGGTCATTGCAAACACGAACATCAGGGGGACACCATAGAAAATGGAAAAATATCAAGTTTGTCCTGGCACGCTGGGGAAAAGTGCATAGCCCAGTGCCCTCTTTTCCACATATGACACATCTTTTATGTGAATCGCCACCATCAAATAATTTCCCAACAGAGATTAGTGGTAGTTGGTTTGATGACATGAAATCAGTGTAAGCATCATCTGCATCATTCGCCAGGTCATCTGGAGTGCTCATACCAGACGGTTTATACAATTCAGACTGCAATGGCCTTTGCTTGAAGTACCGCTTGTAGCACTTTCCACATAATATGCTTTCTTCTGTTATGCTAATGATCTCAGCTGTCAGCAGCTGGTCTAACTTGAGCTCGGGCTCCTTGAGATAAATCTTTCAACTTGGTTTTGCAACCACGACCTATGCACACGTCTGACATGATTATAAGTAAACTTGATGGGAGATTTGCAGTAATTTGAATTAAATACAGAATGTCTGACATAAGTGTAACTTTGTCTATGTAATTGTCTATAGATACTTAGCAAAAATGGTATGAATACTTTATAGTAATACCTTTATCTGTTTCAGGAAATTAACATACTTGCACATTCAGGTGTCAGAAAAGGTTATCATTTCTGACCTCATTTATTAATTATTAATTAGAATTATCTAACTTATTTATATCCATTATTGTTATGTTCAATGATAAGCGAAGAAAATTGGAATGACGATAACATGTTATCAGTAATACAGATTATTTAATCATTGTTAAGTTTTTATAATACAAACAAAACTGTCCGTTGTTCTTTAGAGGATAGATTTCTAGTGCAGAAAACACCATGTTAAATTATACCTACTGAATTTAATTTTAAAACAAATACAAAATTCTTAATTTGCTTTGGTACTACACAAAACTGGAAAATATAGCAGTATTTGGCACAAAAAACAACGAAAAATCTTCATGATTAAGGCAAATTATGCATTAAGCAAGTTTAAATTGCTAAAAATATATTTTACCGGTTTTAGAGTCATGTAAAACTTATTCAATAGACAGCATATATACGTAGAAAGTTTTTAAAGAAGTATGAAATATAGACTGAGATTGCAACTATACAAAATGGACTTTACAGACTTTGATTTATTCTTTATTCTGTGAAAATTTTGCATTTTCTTTTAAATATTTATCAATATGCTTACACATTTTATGCTAATATAACATATGTGGTATCAAAATAATGGACATTTTATGTACTTTAGGCTGGTATATAAATATTTTCATTTTAAATTCTCATGTAACAAATATTTGTCACTATGTTAGGGTACCTTTGTCACTCAACCTGGTGTTATACAAGGAGGTCCAGTATGATTATAAGTAGTTGTAATGACTAATCATTTATGCGGTTGTAGGTTATTTTCATGCATCTACATATGGCAAAAAAATAATAGAAATCTATGTGGGGCAAAATGTTGACCCCACCTTTACCTCAGTATGTTACAGTTGATTGTGTTCTGTTCTAGATGGTCCAGAGGAGGCCTATGATCAGCCTGACCTAAAACAGCCCCCTCCAAGTCGCCCAGTGAGAGCTGCACCCCAAGGTATTGGATAGTAATTCAACAAAATATATGTTTAGTAAAGAGAATCTTGTTGTCAATTAAACATACATACATGTTTAAAGTATGTTTAATAGAGTGGTCAAGTGGTGTAGTAGAAGTAACACAGTTGCCGTATACTAGACATCCGGGTTTCATTCCCTGAAAGGACATGAAAAGGTACATGGGTTCACTTGCCAGATTTACTGTGTTTTCCCTGGGTACTCAAACAGTAAAGCTGTTGTGTGCTTCTATCAAAGCCAACAAATGAACAGTTTTTGAGATGATATTCAGTTACAGAGGTCATTTTAAAAAGGAAAAACTGAAGCTTCAATGATGTTATTAACTTACCTCCGATTTTCTTTCACCTGATAGCGTCACCCCAGCCTGTCGTGCCATCCCGTCCTGGTCGGCGTGCCCAGCCACCACCTCCAGAGATTGAACAGGTATACCTTACTGTTTTATTTATTTGTAAACTATCCATTGTAAACATTTTGTATCAAACTTATAATTTGTTTTTTGAGGGAAGCTTGGGATATGTATATACCTGGTATTAATGTTTACAATACAATTGACATTTAAGGGAAAAGATTAATGGACAACATCCATTGTAAGTTATCAGCAAAATTCATTTGTTAATGTATGTCTAGGTATGCTGCTTTCTGAACCAAGAGAGACACAGGTTGCTAAGGGAATGAAAAAACGTTTCTATTGGACGTTGCTTGCCTGTCAGATTTTGTTTGTTGAATATTGACATGTCCCATCTCCTGTCTTAATTAATATTTCTGTAACAAAGGTCATTATTTATTTCAATGCCTCCGCTAGGGTTACAGTGGAACTTGTGAAGGTAATGCTAATTATTATTCCTGAGTCCCTACATGGTTGCCAATGGAACAGAGGTCATTATTTATTTCAATGCCTCCACTATAATTTGAACCTGAAACCTCTGGCTTACTATTCTGACACTCAACAGATCAAGCTAAAGAGAAGTTCTCTCAGCCAAGTGATATTTTGCAGCTGATATTTTAGCAAGGTTACATACTTCCGCTATAGAAAATAACTCATCCTCCAGTGTCCAGGGGTCACAGCGGCGCTTGTGAAAATATTGCAAAGTATTATTCCTGAGTCCCTACATGGGCACCAGTATACTTATTTCAATGCCTCTGCTAGGATTCGAACCCGGGACCTCTGTCTTACTAACCGATTGAGCTAAAGAGAAGTTCTCTCAATCTGACCGCCATCTTTTGCAGCTAGTATCTTACCAGGGTTACATTTCTTCTAAAATTGAGACGAAATTTTATTTGGTAAAATTTCTAAATTAACAATTCTATTTATGTCCCAGGAACATAGAATTGACATGCATTAAGCGTCTCTGAATATTCTTAGTAAAATGTTTTCTTTTTGTATCAACAACTGTCTTCTATCAAAATCTGAGATTTATTTCTATTTTTTATAAAGATTAAATGTACATTTCTTTTATGTAACCAATTATTGTGTACATGTATAATATAATCCACCAGTGACTTGAACATATTACTCTGTATATTATATGTATACATATCCGTTAACTCATCTATAGATTTTATAGTGCAATATTGTTTGTATTGTGTTTTTAAAGCCCACTATCATGGTTTTAGTAGAAATTCAGTATTAATTAAAAACCTGTTATCAACTATCCCTTAATCAGCCAGACTTCCTACTTTAAATTAGAGGTCAATGTCAATGGTCTCTGAGAGATTGAATTAGGACTAAACTTGTTGAAAGAGAAATGTGATAATCAGTTCTTCATGAATGCATTAAGATATATTTGGCAATGAATTTTTATCCAGCCTACATATGAAGAGACTGATGATCCTGAGGTAAGATTGAAGCCTTTGTGTCTATGACGCTGGGTAGACCTATAAAATTGCCTGCATTCTACTGGTCAGACATGGAACATTTGTACTATGCTATATTAATGATACATGCTTATCCTTTAACTTACTGCTTTATATATGAAAATGTTGAGCAATTTCTTGCTTAGTAAAATTCATTCATCTTAATCCCATAATTCCCGATTGTATGATCAAAGGTGGTGAATTAGACATTATTTGTCACTGACAGGGGCTACATTAGCTTAGTAGGTATGAGAGTTGGCATATGTAACCTACCTGTGGCAGGAGCTGAGAAAGCGACCAGTTTGTGCTGTCGCGGTTGTGTCTTTGGGCAAAATACTTTACCCTAAAAATAATGGCATTCAAAGGACCTCCCGGATATTGTTCAATGAGGTTGTCAACAGATGCTACAAGGAGACCTGCCTCAAAATGACATTACCAGTTACTCTGACCTTTATTTGGGCTTTGACTTTTTTGGACTTTGACCTTGGTGATGTAAAAAAACAGCCAATATGTAATGTTTTGGATCATCAAAACGTGTAGATAGGATATTTTACAGTGGTTTTAAATGTTTGCCTGTAGAGCCAATGAATACACATGTTATACCAGTAATATTGTAGCCATTATCAGTGGAGGCATGTTTTCTGAATTGTCCTGTATGTCCTAAGTTTCAAGTCATGATGCATGCTTTTTGAAAACTCATTTAATCTAAATGTCTTGAATTAAATATTCAAGCTTTGTATCAACTACAGCGATTTGCTCAGCAACTTGGATATATATCGTGGTGTTAAAACAAAATTTTTTATTTTATGTTAAAATGCAGATATGATAGTTTATTTAGAAAAAAAAGATGTCAGTAGAACATATTTTGAACCTTTCTTCCAAATGTTGATAGTAGATTTACTGAGATATTGATGTAAAGATAAAAGTAATTACCTGATACACAGAAATTTCTGAACACTGTCTGATAAAATTAAAGATAATTATTCTTAACACTGTCTGATAAATGTAAAGATAATTACCTGATACACAGAAATTTCTTAACACTGTCTGATAAAATTAAAGATAATTACCTGATACACAGAAATTTCTTAACACTGTCTGATAAAGGTAAAGATAATTACCTGATACACAGACATTTCCTAACACTGTCTGATAAAGGTAAAGATAATTACCTGATACACAGACATTTCCTAACACTGTCTGATGAAGGTAAAGGTAATTACCTGATACACAGAAATTTCTTAACACTGTCTGATAAATGTCAAGGTAATGAAAAAGAAAAATGCTTTACGATTCATTCAAAAATTTTGAATGCAGAATGTGTAAAATTTTTGCTTTATGCAAAATCCATGGAAGAGGTATAGAAGCATGATTGAGCCTAAATGTTTTTCTGTATCCATTCTGGCCTTGCTTAGAGATCAACTAATGCCTATCTGCATTCATTGCCAATTTTTTTATCTTGAATAAATTGTAATGTTTGTTTGCATATATTTCTGTTTAAATTTCTGCACCTGATGTATTCTTTACTCACATATTCCATCTCATATGGGATGTGATTCTTGACTATGATTGCATCAGTTGTCAAACCTTATACTGATAGAATGAAACAAGGGAAGGTAACTCTTGTCGGAGATCAGAATGCTAAGATTGATATATGCTTTGCAATTTGATGTGCATGTGTCACACTATTTGTGACTTAAGTATTAAAGGTAGAAGTTTATTCCTGATTCTTGTTACATACACAAAGTATTTGAATTTACTTGCTTTACCTACAACTCAAATTCATAGATGGGCTTACAACAAGACAACACATAATACAATATCAATATTTAACACCCTCCATTGCCATCAGTTAAATGTGAGCTCTGAGCAATTTTCACTTTGACACCTAAGGTATTATTCATTATGGAGAACAACAATGTGCTGTTATAGGAATAAAAGTAATTATCTAACAGTAAGCTCATGCCAGGTAAGGTGCCTGCCAACTTCATTTTGAGTACTGTTAAGAATATACGATGTATGGCTCCTCTGACATATCATAAACGGGATACAAATATCAATCATCTCTCCCTTTTGTTTGCCAACACTGGTATTACAATTAAAACGCCCATGAATAATAGTACACAACATCAGAAGAAATTCTGCACACAATAACTATCCTTTACTGATGAGACATGTTGAGATGGTAGGTAATGTTTTGACCAATGAGTAGTATTGAGCTGTAGGTAAGGTTTGACTAATGAGTAGTATTGAGATGGTAGGTAATGTTTGACTAATGAGTAGTATTGAGATGGTAGGTAATGTTTGACTAATGGGTAGTGTTTAGATGGTAGGTAATGTTTGACTAATGAGTAGTATTGAGATGGTAGGTAATGACAAATTGATGGTAGGTAATGTTTGACTAATTTGAGATGGTAGGTATTTTGAGATTGAGATGGTAGGTAATGTTTGACTAATTGAGATGGTAGGTAATGTTTGACTAATTGAGATGGTAGGTAATGTTAGACTAATGAGTAGTATTGAGATGGTAGGTGGTAATGTTTGACTAATTGAGATGGTAGGTAATGTTTGACTAATGAGTAGTATTGAGATGGTAGGTAATGTTAGAGTAATGAGTAGTATTGAGATGGTAGGTAATGTTTGACTAATTGAGATGGTAGGTAATGTTTGACTAATGAGTAGTATTGAGATGGTAGGTAATGTTTGACTAATGAGTAGTATTGAGATGGTAGGTAATGTTTGACTAATGAGTAGTATTGAGATGGTAGGTAATGTTTGACTAATGAGTAGTATTGAGATGGTAGGTAATGTTTGACTAATGAGTAGTATTGAGATGGTAGGTAATGTTTGACTAATGAGTAGTATTGAGATGGTAGGTAATGTTTGACTAATGAGTAGTATTGAGATGGTAGGTAATGTTTGACTAATTGAGATGGTAGGTAATGTTTGACTAATGAGTAGTATTGAGATGGTAGGTAATGTTTGACTAATGAGTAAGTATTGAGATGGTAGGTAATGTTTGACTAATGAGTAGTATTGAGATGGTAGGTAATGTTTGACTAATGAGTAGTATTGAGATGGTAGGTAATGTTTGACTAATGTAGTATTGAGATTGGTAATGTTTGACTAATGTTTGAGTAGTAGATGGTAGGTAATGTTTGACTAATGAGTAGTATTGAATGTTTGATGGTAGGTAATGTTTGACTAATGAGTAGTATTGAGATGGTAGGTAATGTTTGACTAATGAGTAGTATTGTGGTAGGTAATGTTTGACTAATGATGTATTGTGGTAGGTAATGTTTGACTAATGAGTAGTATTGAGATGGTAGGTAATGTTTGACTAATGAGTAGTATTGAGATGGTAGGTAATGTTTGACTAATGAGTAGTATTGAGATGGTAGATGGTAGGTAATGTTTGACTAATGAGTAGTATTGAGATGGTAGGTAATGTTTGACTAATGAGTAAGTATTGAGATGGTAGGTAATGTTTGGCTAATTGATATGGTAGGTAATGTTTGACTAATTGAGATGGTAGGTAATGTTTGACTAATGAGTAGTATTGAGATGGTAGGTAATGTTTGACTAATGAGTAGTATTGAGATGGTAGGTAATGTTTGACTAATGAGTAGTATTGAGATGGTAGGTAATGTTTGACTAATGAGTAGTATTGAGATGGTAGGTAATGTTTGACTAATTGAGATGGTAGGTAATGTTTGACTAATGTTTGTATTATTGAGATGGTAGGTAATGTTTGACTAATGAGTAGTATTGAGATGGTAGGTTATTTTTGACTAATGATTAAGTATTGAGATGGTAGGTAATGTTTGACTAATGAGTAGTATTGAGATGGTAGGTAATGTTTGACTAATGAGTAGTATTGAGATGGTAGGTAATGTTTGACTAATGAGTAGTATTGAGATGGTAGGTAATGTTTGACTAATGAGTAGTATTGAGATGGTAGGTAATGTTTGACTAATGAGTAGTATTGAGATGGTAGGTAATGTTTGACTAATGAGTAGTATTGAGATGGTAGGTAATGTTTGACTAATGAGTAGTATTGAGATGGTAGGTAATGTTTGACTAATGAGTAGTATTGAGATGGTAGGTAATGTTTGACTAATGAGTATGTATAATGTTTGACTAATGAGTAGAGATGGTAGGTAATGTTTGACTAATGAGTAGATTGAGATGGTAGGTAATGTTTGACTAATGAGTATGAGATGGTAATGTTTGACTAATGAGAGATGGTAGGTAATGTTTGACTAATGAGTAGTATTGAGATGGTAGGTAATGTTTGACTAATTGAGATGGTAGGTAATGTTTGACTAATGAGTAGTATTGAGATGGTAGATAATGTTTGACTAATTGAGATGGTAGGTAATGTTTGACTAATGAGTAGTATTGAGATGGTAGGTAATGTTTGACTAATGAGTAGTATTGAGATGGTAGGTAATGTTTGACTAATGAGTAGTATTGAGATGGTAGGTAATGTTTGACTAATGAGTAGTATTGAGATGGTAGGTAATGTTTGACTAATGAGTAGTATTGAGATGGTAGGTAATGTTTGACTAATGAGTAGTATTGAGATGGTAGGTAATGTTTGACTAATGAGTAGTATTGAGATGGTAGGTAATTTTTGACTAATGAGATGGTAGGTAATGTATTGAGATGGTAGGTAATGTTTGACTAATGAGTAGTATTGAGATGGTAGGTAATGTTTGACTAATGAGTAGAGATGGTAGGTAATAAATGTTTGAATGTTTGACTAATGAGTAGTATTGAGATGGTAGGTAATGTTTGACTAATGAGTAGTATTGAGATGGTAGGTAATGTTTGACTAATGAGTAGTATTGAGATGGTAGGTAATGTTTGACTAATTGAGATGGTAGGTAATGTTTGACTAATTGAGATGGTAGGTAATGTTTGACTAATGAGTAGTATTGAGATGGTAGGTAATGTTTGACTAATTGAGATGGTAGGTAATGTTTGACTAATGAGTAGTATTGAGATGTAGGTAATGTTTGACTAATGAGTAGTATTGAGATGGTAGATAATGTTTGAAAAATGAGTAGTATTGAGATGGTAAATGTTTGACTAATGAGTAGTATTGAGATGGTAGGTAATGTTTGACTAATGAGTAGTATTGAGATGGTAGGTAATGTTTGACTAATGAGTAGTATTGAGATGGTAGGTAATGTTTGACTAATGAGTAGTATTGAGATGGTAGGTAATGTTTGACTAATTGAGATGGTAGGTAATGTTTGACTTGAGGTGGTAGGTAATGTTTGACTAATGAGTAGTATTGAGATGGTAGGTAATGTTTGACTAAGTGAGATGGTAGGTAATGTTTGACTAATGAGTAAGTATTGAGATGGTAGGTAATGTTTGGCTAATGAGTAGATTGAGATGGTAGGTAATGTTTGACTAATGAGATAGTATTGAGATGGTAGGTAATGTTTGAGATGGTAGGTAATGTTTGACTAATGAGTAAGTATTGAGATGGTAGGTAATGTTTGACTAATTGAGATTGTAGGTAATGTTTGACTAATGAGTAGTATTGAGATGGTAGGTAATGTTTGACTAATGAGTAGTATTGAGATGGTAGGTAATGTTTGACTAATGAGTAGTATTGAGATGGTAGGTAATGTTTGACTAATTGAGATGGTAGGTAATGTTTGACTAATGAGTAAGTATTGAGATGGTAGGTAATGTTTGACTAATGAGTAAGTATTGAGATGGTAGGTAATGTTTGACTAATGAGTAAGTATTGAGATGGTAGGTAATGTTTGACTAATGAGTAGTATTGAGATGGTAGGTAATGTTTGACTAATGAGTAGTATTGAGATGGTAGGTAATGTTTGACTAATGAGTAGTATTGAGATGGTAGGTAATGTTTGACTAATGAGTAGTATTGAGATGGTAGGTAATGTTTGACTAATGAGTAGTATTGAGATGGTAGGTAATGTTTGACTAATGAGTAAGTATTGAGATGGTAGGTAATGTTTGACTAATGAGTAGTATTGAGATGGTAGGTAATGTTTGACTAATGAGTAGTATTGAGATGGTAGGTAATGTTTGACTAATGAGTAAGTATTGAGATGGTAGGTAATGTTTGACTAATGAGTAGTATTGAGATGGTAGGTAATGTTTGACTAATTGAGATGGTAGGTAATGTTTGACTAATGAGTAGTATTGAGATGGTAGGTAATGTTTGACTAATGAGTAGTATTGAGATGGTAGGTAATGTTTGACTAATTGAGATGGTAGGTAATGTTTGACTAATTGAGATGGTAGGTAATGTTTGACTAATGAGTAGTATTGAGATGGTAGGTAATGTTTGACTAATTGAGATGGTAGATAATGTTTGACTAATTGATATGGTAGGTAATGTTTGACTAATGAGTAGTATTGAGATGGTAGGTAATGTTTGACTAATGAGTAGTATTGAGATGGTAGGTAATGTTTGACTAATGAGTAAGTATTGAGATGGTAGGTAATGTTTGACTAATGAGTAGTATTGAGATGGTAGGTAATGTTTGACTAGTCAGTAGTATTGAGATGGTAGGTAATGTTTGACTAATGAGTAGTATTGAGATGGTAGGTAATGTTTGACTAATGGGTAGTATTATAGTGTCCTCTATCAGAGAGAAATAGTTAAAGCCATGTTCCTATCTGTACATTTTGTCTAGTGAGGTAATATTGTATGATAGGTGACTTGAACTGAAGACATTTTGATACCAGAGTGGGATATCTTTCACCTGCTAAAGTCAAGGTCACCACTATAGAGGTCAGATAACTGTGATCTACTTACCAGAGACATATACAGACTTCAGAAAAATATTAGATATATACAACAAAACTGTTCATTCTATATATCTGAGAAGTTATTAACAGCAAAAGATATTTAGTATTAACACAGATAATTTGTTTACAAGGAAGTCAAATGAGGAGTATTTGTGTACACTCTGAAATTTGATAAAGCCATTGACTTATCAAATGTTCAACTCTGTAAAAGTTATATTTACCTTCAGTAAACTAAACTGATTAAATCTTTTACACTCTACATGTCAGTACATGGAGTGGCACTTAGATATACACCAATTTGAGGACCTTCATATCAAGTACTTAGGTCATTGTGTCTTATGTTTTATTGTTAGCTATGAAACTCAGCCAAAGTGTAAGTTTAAGGTTACAGTGAACTTGTTTAACCTCATGCTATTTTATTGTATAGTTCCTATAGACATATGATATACATACCTACATACATTTACATACCTAATATCAGTGATTAAACATGGTATATGTTGGAAAAGTGAATAATCAAGCATGAAAGATTTCTTGAATTTCATGCAATATGATAGGATTTGTTTTTGAGAGGGTGGGTGGAAGGGGAATACATTCATATATGTTGTATGGTTTTAGTTATTCACAAAATGATACACCCTATTCAACTTAATAAGCACACTTGTCCCTGTAAGTGCACCCCATTTTAGCCCACAATCATCTGATGGTGGGCTATTCAAATAGCTCTATGTCTATGGTATGTCGTTGTCCGTCCAGCCGTCTGTCCTTTAACAATTTTTGTTATCGCTATTTCTTGAAAAGTACTGGATGGATCCTTCTCAAATTTCATATGTGGGTTCCCCTTGGTCTCTAGTTGTGCTCATCTAATTTTGGGACTAATCAGAAAAACTAAATGGCAGACAGGTGGCCAACTTTTATTTTTTTTCAATGAAAAGTACTGGATGGATCTCTCTCAAAATTGATATGTAGGTTTCTCTTGGTCTGTAGTTGTGCTCATCTAATTTTGGGACTATTCAGAAAAACAAAATGGCTGACAGGTAGCCATCTTGGATTTTGGCTTTGAAAGTTTGTCACTATTTCTTGAGAACTACAGCATAGATTTTTCTCAAATTTCATGTGTATGTTTCCCTTGATCCTTATTTCATCTTAGATTTTGCCAAGTAAAGATTGTTATCTCTATTCCTTACTAAGTACTGAATGGATCTCTCTCAAATTTCGTATGTATCTTCCCTTTGGTCTCTACTTATGCTTGTGTGATTTTGGGACTGATAAAAAAATAAATGGCGTCAAGGTGACCGTCTTGGATTTGGCAAGTGAATATTTTCATCGCTATTTCTGCAAAGGAATGTTCAAATTTCTTATCATTAAGAGCAAAATCAGAGAAGAGAAATGAGGTAAAAGATCCAACTTTCAAAAAGAAAATAAAGATCAAACAATGGTGGGTGCCAAGATCTCTCTTGGATCTCTTGTTTATTTTTGTAAGCACAATGGGTTTATTAAATCAAATACGGTATTGGGATTTTAGCTATTTACCATGACTGAGAATTTTAGCCATATGTGCTTCTACAGAATATGGTGATTGCTAACTCTTATACAAAAGTCATAACGATTTCCTTCATTATACAAAAAGATATTGGCATTTTTAATCCATATATAGAAAGGGATCTTTTTAAAGATATTTTATAAGGATATTATGTAGTTTTGACCATGTAAGGTATTTATATTTCATACTGGTATACATGCAATTGTTTCTACATTGTACCTTGTGTAATATTGTCACCACAACAACAGATCTTTTGGACATAAGTAGTCTTGTTTGTGGTTACCTTGTAGTCTCTTTTATAGTATACATGACTGTATAATCAAATGACTGTTTAATGAATACCAGGAAGTTAGAAGATACACAGTCTACTTTATCACTCCTGATTCTTCATAATTTTTACTAAAATTACTTGCATTGTGTGTCATTTTAGCCGGCCCTGCCAGCACGCCCCGGTCGACGAGCTAAACCAGCAGAGCAGGTATATGTTACATGTAGTTTAGAGGTATAGTAATTGCTACATATGTAGTAGCTGTTTTAGCTATAATAGGAAATTACATTTTTCCTTATTTCAATCATTTTTAGAGGAGTTATACAAGAGACCTTATTGGTTTTTTTCAACATTTTAATCCTGTACAGAAATCAGTGCAACATACAATCAACTCGCAACACTAGGCATATATATATATACGTACTGGTGTAGTGAGACCCTACTGGAATACTGCTTCTCCATATGGGACCTACACCAAACAAACCAAACAACTTGGAAAACACAACACACAGCTGCATGTTACACAACCAACAGATACCATAATACGAAGATAAAATAATACTTTTTTACAAAATCATACAAGATCATGTCAGAGACTACAGACTATAGAACCAGACGAGCACACCATTACCAACGCTTATCTGCCACCAATGAAACCTACAAATACTCCCAATTTCCTACTTCACACATTCCCACAATGGAACCTTGTTCTGGTGGCATCAGTACAGAGCACTATACTACACTATTCTAGAGATCTGCAAGTCACATATAACATTGACCAGGAACACTTTAACCCACTTCCTAGGTACCATATTTTTTCCTTTTTAGGTCGCCTGAGCCGAAGGCTCGTGGTGACCTATTGCCATCATGATTTGTCTGTCGTCGTGCGTCGTGCCTCGTTAACTTTTCACATATTCGACTTCTTCTCTAGAACCACTGAATGTATTTTGACCAAACTTGGCACAAAGCATCCCCATGGGAAGCCGCTTCAAGTTTGCGAAGAAAAAGGGCATGGCACCAATAAAGGCCCCAGGAGGGGGGAAAAGGGGATAAGGGGATTCAACAGAATTTGGTAGAAAGCATCCCTTAGTGAAGGACATATGAAATTATGTTGAAAAAAGTGATTATGTTCCCTTTGGGGCCCATAAGGGGTATAAAAGAGGCCATATGTAAAAACCTTCTTTAAATGACTTCTTCTCAAGAACCATTGGATGGATTTTGCAAAGAAAAAATGTGTGGCACCAATAGGGGCCGCAGGAGGGGGAAAAAGGTGTAAAATTAGGTAAATCTTTAAAATCTTCTTCTCATGAACCAACAGTCAGATTAAATTCATATTTGATATTTAGGGTCCTAATTGCAAGGTCTACAAAGTTTGCGAATGAAAAAAAAATCGGGTCAAAAACAGCCCCACTAGGGGGTGCTCAAAAGGGTGAAGGACATATGAAATTATGTTGAAAATAGTGATAATGTTCCCTTTGGGGCCCATAAGGGGTGTAAAAGTGGCCATATGTAAAAACCTTCATTAAATGACTACTTCTTAAGAACCATTGTATGGATATTGACCAAACTTGGCACAAAGCATCTGCATGGGAAGCCGCCTCAAGTTTGTGAAGAAAGAGGGCGTGGCCCCAATAGGGGCCCCAGGAGGGGGGAAAAGGGGAAACTTGATATGAATGTTCTACACAAGGTCCTGGCAAGTGTTTTAACTTTTTGATTCAAAATCCAAGATGGCCATCCTGGCCTCTGTTTGGCTAAGACATTATGGACTTCCTCTCAAGAACCATTGGGTGGGTTATGTTCAAACTTGGTACAGATGTTTTACACATGGTCCTGCACAAGTGTTGTTACATTTTTGCAACATTTTAAAATCCCCAGATTATTGACATATATTCCTCAGGTGACCGTTAAGGCTCCTTGGGCCTCTTGTATTCTAAGCTCTAGTTATCTATTAGTAAAATAACAAAAACAAAACAAATAAAACCGTTCAATGTAAACACTCATCATGTCATTATACAGTCTGGTAAATGTAATCATCTGAATGTTGGGATTCATGTATTTAATAGACAGAAGAAAAAATAAGAGAAATGCCCTTTTTCTTCTCTTGGCAGAGTTATACCCCTTTTGCCATTTTTAGGTGATAAATGAACTACTTTTGTATTAGTGATCATGATGTTTATCACATACATTTAAACACTGACAATTATACTTGCATGTTTTGATTATTTCAGCCTCCACCTCCCCAGCCAGCCCGACATGGTCGACGAGCCCAGCCAGCCCCACCTCCACAGGATGAACAGGTATTTATATAAATCACATATACATATATTTAGCCAGATATTAGAACTACATGTTCCACAATGGTGAATTTCACAAAATAGATTGAGGACATCTTATGTGGGAAATGTAGTTTATAAGACACAGGCATTAGATATATCACCTACTGTGTACTTAAAACTCTATTATACCTAACTTGAGTGTGACAAATTGCTTTATATAAGAAAGGAGACTACATACCATACCTATTATATGTTACTTCTTATTCAAGGGTTGGAATTATCTCTAAACAATAAAAGAGTAATGATTTATAATTCTTTGCGGTTGCAGGTTTTCTTTCTTCATGACTTGTCATTTTGCTAGGCGTCTTGTCAATGAATGTCAGTATTCTATGATTTTATGATTTTAATGAATGGCATTATATATATATTGTAGGTTTAATACCTGGCATGGGTTAATTGTTCTATAATTACAGTAACAATGTAATACAATATATACTGAAACGAATAAGAAACGCAACTTCAAATTGTAGGTTTAATAAAATAATACTTGTGAGCATTATGTCTAAATTTCATATGTAATAGTTAATATTGAATATTGATGTAACATCCTCTAAATGTTTGGAGATTTTTAAGAAAAGGTCACTTCGCTAGAAGGTCATGATTGGTAGTACCCTACGTGAATCCAAGTTGAAATGGCAGCAGTTTTGAAACCGTGCCCTAATATCGTGTGTGTCCTCCTCGACCAGCTATAGCATCTCTAATTCTTCGTTGCATCGAGTTCATCAGGGCATTGACTGTCCGTATTGGAATGTTATTCCATTCTTGGACGAGTGCATTTGCTAACTGGGGGAGACAAGAAAGTCTCTACAGACTCTTGCAACGTGTGGTCTCGTGTTATCTTGCTGCAAGGTTAGATGATGCTGCCTAACAAACGGCACAACATGGGGCCTAAGGATCTCATCCCGATAGCGTACGGCCGTTAAATTCCCATTGACTATCACCAAAGGTGTCTTCAAACCATGGGAGATTCCCGCCCAAACCATAACTGATCCACCCCCAAATCGGTCATGCTTTAAAACACAGGCGTCTGCAAAACGTTCGCCTCGACGCCGGTACACACGTTGACGGCCATCTGCTCGAAATAACGTGAATCAAGATTCATCGGTGAAGAGCATGGACCTCCAATGTCTCATAGGAAAACGTCGGGGCATATGTGCTGTCAACCATTGCATACGACGTGCTTGACGTTGCGGTGTTAGTGGTAAACCAACGTACTGTCGCCTTGCACGCAAATTAGCCTCACGCAGTCTGTTGATCACTGTTTGGGGATGAATCCGATGGTTATGATTACCAATCGTATTCCTTGCCGTTTCAGCAGCCGTTAACCTCCTGTTACGCAAGTGTGCCAGTCTTCCTGTGGCGTTAAGACGTGAAACTAATCAACTAATAGTCGATTTGTGAACTCTGAGGTGTCGAGCGACGTGAAGTTGCATGCTCCCTGCCATAAGCATCGCGATAGCACGTCCTCTATCAACCTGTGCTAACCGTGGCATAATTGTAAAAGGAATTATTGTTTGCAAAAGTATTGGCGATCATGTGTCTCGATGTTAGTGATAAATTGATACTGGTTTGAATGAAAAAGAACGCATATGTTTGTACAGGCATGGTTTTTGATGTTTTTACCGCGCCGGATGTGCATAGGTTTCTCATCACACCTGGTTGATTTTGAACATTGGTTAGGGTGATAGGCAGGGTGCACTTTTATTTCCGCGATTTTTATACAGCTATGTATATTTAATACAAAATTAATAACAATTTTCCAAGTTGCGTTTTTTTTTCGTTTCAGTATATT